CGGATGAAAGAACTGTGTTCATGTTCTTCTTTTGCCTCGCTTTAGAGGATTCATTATCGTTGATTCGAAACCATCAATAATTTTCTCACTACAAAGTATGAATTTATAAGACGGTCTGACGTGCCTCTAGCATTTCGTCTTAGTCAACTCAAAATAAGATTAAATCTTTGACCGAAGTCCAGATACGTACACTATTTTAATTTATTTGTTGGGTAAAAGCATATGCTTCAGCTGGCAAAAGCAGGAAACTTCTTGGTCAGATTACAGATTTGACTGATGTGATTGCTTTCCTCAGCTTTGTGTCTTGCGGGTATCCTATCTTCAATTAGAAAGTTCTCTTCTAGCTTCTACGATCTTGACACCTGTTCTGGAGCATGGACATCTTCCTTTCCCTAATCTGTTTGATGCGAACCACATGAGACATCCATCCTTGTCAGAAATTTCCAACCATTCACATGTAAGAGTAATACGGGGCGGGCAAGAGGCTGACGTTAACCCACCAAAAAAATTATTGATTTTATTGATTTTGTTGGTTTTTTGCAGTTTTCATCCTAGGAAGCTCGAACTTTGCATATATAGGTTTTGTAGCGTGCTGATTACGAAAATGATAGTCTCAAGTTTTGATACCACCTTCTAACATCAGCTTCTTTTCTACGAAAATTCTACCGTACTGCTACCGTAGTCTCACCGTGAGAATGTAGTGAAAGAAGTGGACACTATAATCGTAATCAGCACGTGAAATAACCCCAATACACGAATTTTCATGAAAATCCATGATGTTGGGTTCGTACAGAATGACTACCGTAACCCTACCGTATAACGCCAAAAACTGAAATGAATATTTTGGCAATCAGCGCGTTCGATATGTGGGGAAATTGTGGGGAAATTCTCAGAGACGTATTCTGAACTTCTTCCAAAAAGACTACCATTTCGGACAATACGACCCACGGGTGGGTCGTAAGTTTGGCAGAGCAAAAAGGGCTCCTGTCCGAAATGGCAGTAATCGAAAAATTGGCCTTGTCGTCAACGTGTTAATCAAAAGTCAATTGCCCTCGCAAAATATAAATCTCTCACGCAAATTTCTTGATCACTTTCCCTACTTTTCTAGTTACCGCTTATAAGCCATAGCCAGGAGTTGAGTGCTGTTCTGCATCTTCTTGATGCACCATCAACTCTTCTGTTACCATTTAGGCCTCATATCCCCGCTGGGTAGAAAAGCTGTGAAAGAACCTGCGTTACCTTCGATATATAGAGCCATGTACTCTGGTAACTTTCACTTTGAGCGACATTAGAGAACACATCCTTCGCCAGAAGAAAAACAGAAGTCATTCAGAGCGAAGCCCCGAATGTTACATCGTAACATACTGGATACCCTATTTTTCGGAGTATAAAGCTCACCTATGCATATGGTGCACCTGCGAATGTTAGTGCGAAAAGTGTGCCTTGAGGTTGCGCCTAAGGTTCAGCTATGGGTTTGCTTATCTTTACTTGGAATTGATTGTCAGACGAGGGCCTCAGAGTATTCAAGATCTCAATGCTGATTTAATTTTGGATGGATTTAAGGATGCCTTGAAAACAGATGTAGACCTAAATGATCTCAGTGACGACTTTAATGCTTTGAAGGTATTCTAAAAGCACATTATCAAATGTAAAATCTTGTCTTGCAGAAGATAGACAAACCTATAGTGACAACTTACAAGGAATTCAACAGAGGATGAATGCAAAAGTGTTATTAAATCATCGCTTAGCTGCCTTTGCGGGCGTCGTACATCGCCCGCGTCGTCGCAAATAAGCACGCGCTTCCGAAAAATGCGCTCTATACACCAATCTTTTCCTCTTCTCCTTTTCAATAAACAACGTTTATTTTTTATGGAGGGGGGGGGGGGGAGTTCAAAGCTTCATTGTTGAGGCCCCCTATCTCTAGACTATCGAAGGTATGAGAACGCTTTAGGTTACCGTGATCCAAGACTCTCTAACTCTTATTTTTCTCATCTTTGGAATACTCCACTACCTTATTACCTTATAATAAAAATTACAGCGCATTTGGCTGAATCCACTGTCTTGTGTGATCATCGCTGACTTCAAGTCTTTTTTCTCAAACTTGTTGAAGAAGTAGTAAACTTGCGCTGGATTTGTTGTAGCATTGCTAAGCATGTTTTCGATATGAAAAATGTAAGTGAAAGTTTTGTTTTTCAATAAACGCCGCCTCGGAGCGGTGCTCCATCAAAGATTTCGTCATGCTGAGATTTCACACTCACTCTGCATGCTCGTGTGTGGCACTGTCACTTAGGCCCGTATGCACGTACATCCCCGCTGGGGAGGGGAGGGGAGCTGGATCCCCAGGGGAGCGATCCCCTTTATTGAACCCCGCTATGCCAGAGAAGGGGGAGCTATCCCCTCCCCTGCACCCACAGCGGGGAGGGTGTCATAGCGGTAGTCGCATCTAGCTCACGGCTACCTGAACATCTCGCCAAAAAAGCTATTTTCAGCCATTTTTTGTGTACTAAATGGCTTTTGGGATGAGAAATACAAGAATAGTGATTTCGAGTGCCTTTGTTCCTTTTCCAGTCTTCTTTATTTTCTCCTTTCACCCTTCCCATTGTATCTCCCCCCATCGCTGTCTTCTTCTTTTCCCTATTACTGGTTTTAAGGGTTTCTTATACTTGTTACGTGCTGTCGTAGTATGATGTTGATTTCTGAAGTGGTGTGATTCTATTTAGCAGTTTCCTCGCAGTTATGTTATGGCTTACTTTTCTCATAGAAGAATTCATGTGTGCGGTTTTGTAGTTTCTGTGTTTTTTCCAACGCTTGCTAGCCATTTCTTTGCGGTACTCTTTCGCTGCCACAAATTCGGTATTTGACTTCAGGGATATCGATCGGGCGGACCCTGGTGGGGTCCCATCCCCTCCCTTCCCCTCCCCGTATGTACGTATGTAGCTCAACAGCGCGGGGGAGGGGATCGACATCCCTTGCAACGGAGTAGGGGTTCGATTGTATAGATCATGCCAAAGAAGCGAATATTCTGGTTTTAATCAACTGTTACCAAGCAATTCGTTCAATTTGATAAAAGATTTCCTTTGGAAGCCGGATTCCCCTCTGAGCGACCTGTAGCTTGCAATCTTGTCTCTCTTCTAAATTCCCCCCTTGAAAAGAAATCCAAGTAATAATTGCTGCCATTCTCGAATATTTGTAGGAGTTCTTGATCATTCAAGAAATTTGCGCATTTTTCAAATGACATAATAGTTTTGGCCAGATAGGCATCAGATACATTGTAATCATCGTATTACATGATATATTGCTCCTAGCTTTTTGATTTAACAGAAGCTGCCTTGAAAAAATCTAGAAAATAGCAGATTTGCCTAATTCTGAGTAGTGATCCCCTGGGGAGTGATCCTTTCCCCAGCATTCCCCACGTGCATAGCAGGGATGGCCGCTGGGGATCATTCCCTTGGAGGAGTGGACGGCATGTCGCTAATACTCAGACAATTGCATCGGGAAGTTCGCGGGTGCTTGTCCGACCACCAATCATCCATGCCGCGAGCTGCCCGGTAAACCCATATATTAGACCCGATAAGTGACCGCGGCACATCCTGTAAGTGCCCGTTAGGCGCCTATAGTTAACCCGATTAGCATGCTTGTAAGATCTAGGGAGAGTGAAAAACTATTTAATCTATCTTTCAGAATGACGACTTGAGTGCAAACTGAGCAACTCGTTAGCCCATCTGTAGACATCATCTAGTGTCGTCAATATTACTCATCCGAATGCTGAAGTTTATTTTGTCAGCATAAGAACTCAACTCTGTCAGATAGGACCAATTCCGAGAAGCGATACCCAGCCTCATAAACACTTAGGGTAGGCCCATCGCTGCGACGTACCTCACGAGGGTTGCGCCTTAAACTACAGCGTGTAAGAACTGCGGCCTTTGATAGGGCCCGCGGCCCGCCGAGTGAGGTGGTTGGGCCGCGACCTTCCCGGTAATCTCTTCCCGATATCAACTTTGGCCGCGGCGTTCCCGGTAAAATATACATGGGCCGCGGCGTGCGGGGCTGAAATTTCAAGGGCAGCGGCGCTCCATGTAACACGCTTTGAGGCCGCGGACTTTCCGATGCAATTGTCTGAGTAGCTACAGCTTCCATGAAAAGCTAGCACGATTTGCAATTTCTTTTATGTGTGGAAATTCTAGTTTGAATGTCTGCGGCACCCTCCCCCCCCTTTTCGGCAATATAACATATTCTACTCATTCACTGTAGAGACATCATGACTTCTAATTTTGGACTTTTATGAAAACAGTAAAAATATATTGTGCTTAGGAAATTTTTTTGCTGCGCCGAGCGCAATCACGGGCGATGGCATTCCGCAACGAGTAAAATATTGCCGATGACGTGCTGGAGGCGAGTAGCTACCAAAAGATGAGAAAAGAGGAGTGATTACCACAAAAAGCGGAAACGAAATGATTTCCCCGCTCGAGCCCCCTTCTGCATAAGGGGGTTCCCTTCCCCTACTTCCGGGGGATCCCCTCCCCGGTATTGCCTTTGTGCACACGGGGGTTCGCGTGGGGAAGGGAGGGGAGCCCCAGCGGATATCACTTCTATGGTTAAGCGCACATCCCCTTCCCGGGGGGATGTACGTGCATACGGGGCTTAATAGCAGCAGAGTTTGAGTTTGAAAGAATAATGATTTTGAAGAAAAACAATCCCCTGTATGATCTAACAAAACATTGATAAACTCAACTTATAAGCAATGCGCTGTCATTCCTTAAACTGGAGTACTCAGGTAGTACTCTGAAAGATGAGTTGAGACGAGTAATAGAAATTCTGAAAACCCGGAAATATAGGACGTCTCCTCACAGCTCGCCCATCTCCGCCAACGGCGATGTACATGCATACGTCAAAGGTTGCCAAAAACGTTGTTTATGATAAAAAGCGCCCGTCATTTCTATCTACTCTGAAGCTTAGTTTTGGGCACATCAGAAGCACTCAAGATGAAGGCTGGGGCGGGTCGCAGAACTTGGGCAATGACTTAGCCAAGGGCACCGCTATTTTAACGCATTCAAAACTAACCACCTTTAATTTTGGATACAGTGCTAAGAAAGACTCAAAATCAAAAATAGGAAGTCCGAATGAAAACCCAAAAAAAGACGCAAATTTCACTTCGTTGTTAAACAGAAACATAACTCAAGAAAACATTCTGTTGCCAAACCATACCAAACCAAGACAACGTGGACTGAACCAAGTCTGCGCAGTAAGTCATATGTTTAGTGCTCAAAGGGTGCAGTACATAAACAAAATTCACATCAAAGAAGTCCTGCAGAGCATCGTCAACTCTAGGGAGCGGAAGTTCCCTCGGCTGTAAATAATTATGTTCACTATTGGTATTGTGAGCAATGGGTCGTGTTATAAACGAAAAGCAGACAGCGCTCAAATGGCTGTAAGTCATAGTCGTCCTTTGTGTGTGTGGAGCATCTTGAAGTCTTACATAACATACTGCGGTTACAGTGCCGTAAACGCTGCATTTTAGTCTCTATCGAGGGGATGTGCTTGTGTCATATGAGATCTATTACATTTATATAAAGATGTCTTCACTTACGTTTTCTGTGAGATTCTGCTTGGAATCGCTACACATCCGACAAAGTGTTTGAAGCACGCGCGTACACAAGTTATCTTGCTTGTTTTGCATCAAAGTCTTGCAGTGTTGTATGAGCCTAGAAGTAGAGTGATTTTGGAAGTATCTAGAAGGTCAGCAATTTGGGGAAAAATTTTTGCTTAGTGTTCATAGGTATAAAATATGTATGTATATGTATATTATTATGAATATGGAATATACAGGGTGTCCCAAAAGTATGTATCGAACGTTTGATCGTTAATAACTCTCTTCCCAAGAAGTCTTTTGCCTTGCTTTAGGTACCGTTTTGTAGAGCTGGCTTCAACTTAGATTTGCACTATAGAACGAATCATTCATCTCTCTTCATTACTGTAGGATTACGGTAGAAACTTGAAACATATGGTGTTAATGTGAAAAAAGCTGCCGTTTCAAAATTTTTCAAAAAATCGTGAAAACTTGTGTAATAGGGTTTTTATGGACGCTGAGTTCAATATTTAACTATTCACAAGATTACGAAGCTTTCTAAACGGTGCAATCCCACTTTTTAGGAACATTGAAAAAATGGCCGCTACTTCTTACCTGGCATAACTCTTCAATGAAGCATCATAATGTTGGGAACTTTACAGTTATAATCAGCAACTCTAATTAGCCTAGTGTAAAAGTTTTAAGGCTGTTTTGTTTCCTTTCTGGGGCAAAATATGGCCTTTCATTGCTTAAAACCCTCCTTGAAGTTTCTACCGTAATCCTACAGTAATGAAGAGAGATGAATGATTCGTTCTATACTGCAAATCTAAGTTGAAGCCAGCTCTACAAAACGGTACCTGAAGCAAGGCAAAAGACTTCTTGGGAAGAGAGTTATTAACGATCAAACGTTCGATACATACTTTTGGGACACCCTGTATTAGGTTGAACCGAAAGTTCTGTCGCACCATTTTCAAAAAATCATAACTTCTTTCGGTCACGACGATTTTGCGCAATTCAAATTTTGTCTGCAAGCGTAAAGCAAGTAGCCTCCAAGATTTTCCTGAGGACTTTCCAAAGTGCTCAGGTTGCAGAGATAAAAATGAAAGAACGAGATTATCCGAAATTCGGAATTTTTAAGCAAGAATTCTAAAAATTCAGATGTGCGATAAAATCCAGAAAAGCCATTATCCTAATTTTTCTTACATTTGATTACTAAACGAGTCAAGTTTGTGCTGATCGAGGTCTTCTTTCAGAAGTTATGAATTTGTGGAAAAAAATGCCAAAAAATCCATTTCTTAAGCATTCTTAGGAAATTGATTTTTCGGCATTATTTTTCAAAAAATCATAACTTTTGAAAGAAGGACTCGATCAGCACAAACTTGACTCAGATAGTAACCAAACGTAAGAAAAATTAGGATAATGGCTTTTCTGGATTTTATCGCACTGTTTCTGAATTTCTAGAATTCTTGCTTAAAGATTCCGAATTTCGGATGATCTCGTTCTTTCATTTTTATCTCTGCCACCTGAGCATGTCGGAAACTCCGCAGGGAGCTTTTGGAAACTACATGCTTTACGCTTTCAGATAAAATTTGAATAGCGCAAAATCGTCGTGAGAGAAAGAAGTTATGATTTTTTGAAAATGGTGCGACAGAACTTTCGGTTCAACCTAATATTAGGTTGATGCAAAAATAATGAGCGTTTTTATTTGCTTGCTTTAACAAAGCAAGCAGACTCAACCCAACAAAGGGTAAGGGGTACTGTTCGATAGAGCAAAGCAAGTTCTACAAGATGGCACTCATGCCTTTGCGCCATGCTCGATCCACGGAGAGTTCGAACTCAAAATCTAAAGATTTCCAAATGCTCAAAAAATCGAAAATAATCAGATCTTCGTCCAAATAATTTCTACGGACCTCCCACTCGCTCACATCAATACTATCGATACCTGATATCCATATGTGCGATTGCCGTATTTTTTCCTTGACTAGAAACTGAGAAAACGAAAATTTATCTGATTTTCTCAAAGCAATGCTGAGCCGTTTTTGCACATGTAGTTCTATACTACAAGCCTTGATAAGCATAACTGTAGGTTCTCAGCCTATTTCGAGCGGTACTTTTCAAGAAATGTCGATTTTAGCACTGAAACTGAAACGAAAAAATCCGAATTCGTTATTTTTCGAAAACTACCGCTTGGAATGGACTGAAAATTTACAGTTATGCTTATCTAGGCTTGTAGTATAGAACTACATATGCAAAAACAGCTCAGCATTGCTTTGAGAAAATCAGGGAAATTTTCGTTTTCTCAGTTTCTAGTCAAGGAAAAAATACGGCAATCGCACATATGGATATCAGGTATCGATAGTATTGATGTGAGCGAGTGGGAGGTCCGTAGAAATTATTTGGACGAAGATCTGATTTTTTCGATTTTTTGGGCATTTGGAAATTTTTAGATTTTGAGTTCGAACTCTCCGTGGATCGAGCATGGCGCAAAGACATGAGAATCATCTTGTAGAGCTTGCTTTGCTCTATCGAACAGTACCCCTTACCCTTTGTTGGGTTGAGTCTGCTTGCTTTGTTAAAGCAAGCAAATAAAAACGCTCATTATTTTTGCATCAACCCAATATTTGTGGTTTATATAGTGCGCTTCAGAACTATAAGACATCCTCAATAGTCTTTACAATCCTTGGCGGAGCAAATAGTCCATTGTTTTAGTGCTGGGCCCTAAGAAAAAAAACTAGTTTGGACGGCTGCGATGGTTAGTGAACCTACTGACCCGATTTGAGACAAATTTAGCATTGTCTTAGCAAGAGAAACTGTAGAGGAGATTTATTTGTAGTCTCGGGCATTTTGTGCATTAACGAGTTTAATTTCCAGCAAGTTTACTGAGGAACAGATTGCCAAGAACTTACTGGAAAATTGACCGCCGCCCTTCCAAGAGCGTTGGAGATAGTAGTACGTTCTACAGCAGCAAAACATGCGCAGATCAACTACCGCCCGCAGCTTTTGTAAGGACACCAAACTTTTCCGATCTAAATCTTATGGCGACCCGGATGGAGACAAAGGCACTACCAATGAAGTACCGAAGGGAGGTGGCATTTTTGAAAATCATTTAGATGATTTGAAAAAATGTGCAGGCGACTTGTTCATACTTATAAATAAATAGAAATAATTTTTCAAAATTTTCAAACTCTGTATTAGCCTTGTAAACATTTTGTGGGCGTAGCTGCGGCCACGCCCCTTTTTCTGGAATTCGGGGTTATAGGCCCGCAAATCTGGAACACTTCAAAAAATTCCTCGGAGCGCGTAATTAACACCACGCAGTCTTATTCTGAAAAAAATTTTTGTCCCCTCCCCGAACGGAAATCCTGGGTACGCTACAGGGTACTACATCTTATATATAATCTTATATATAAAGCTGAATGTCTGTTTGTCTGTCTGTATGTCTGTCTGTATGTCTGTCTGTATGTGTGTACGTATGTTCCGAATAGAAAATTCCATTTCTGAACCGATCCGGACCAAACTTGGCACACATACACTACGGGCCCCGGCGGGTGTCATAGGCTACGTTTCGTCATCGATCGATATCGATTTTATCGATTTTATCGATTTTTTTGCAAAGTTTGAGCTACGGGGCTGGGAGTTGGCACAGGGGGGTAATCGAGCATGGGGATTCCGAATACAATATTGGTTTTCGGGATTATCGATTACTTTTATCGATTTTATCGATTTTTTTGCAAAGTTTGAGCTACGGGGCTGGGAGTTCGCATAGGGGGGTAATCGAGCATGGGGATTCCGAATACAATATTGGTTTTCGGGATTATCGATTACTTTTATCGATTTTATCGATTTTTTTGCAAAGTTTGAGCTAGGGGGCTGGGAGTTGGCACAGGGGGGTAATCGAGCATGCTGATCATCCCCAAGGGGGGTGATCAGCATGCTATTACACCCCTGTGCCAAATTCCAGCCCCCTAGCTCGAATTTTCAAAAAATCGATAAAATCGATAAAAGTAATGGATAATCTTGAAAACTAATATTGTATTCGTAATCTGCATGCTCGATTACCCCCCTGTGCAAACTCCCAGCCCCGCAGGTCAAACTTTACAAAAAAATCGATAAAACCGATAAAAGTAATGGACGATCCTGAAAACTAATATTGTGTTCGTAATCAGCATGCTCGATTACCCCCCCCCCCTGTGCAAAATCCCAGCCTCGCATGCCAAAATTTACAAAAAATCGATAAAATCAATAAAAGTCATCGATAATTCTGAAAACTAATATTGTATTCGGAATCCCCATGCTCACTTCCCCCCCTGTGCCAACTCCTAGCCCTGTAGGTGAACTCTGCAAAAAAATCGATAAAAATCGGTAAAATCGACATCGATCGATAACGAAAAGTGGACTGTGACACCCGCCGGGGCCCGAAGTGTATGTGTGCCAAGTTTGGTCCGGATACGGCGGAGCCGGGTAAGCCAGCTAGTATCTTCTAATAACCCAGAATTACCAGTTCTCGGGGTGTCTTATAGTTATTCAAGGCATTGTATGTATTTGCATTTGATAGTGCTGATAATACATGACGACGACAAATACTCACTTTGTCACTACCGCCCCTTTGGCGCATTTTTCGCGAAGAGTAGAACCAACAGGGAACAACAGATTGGGTGCATGCAAAACATCCACAAGTACACTGCCTTCTGCTGAGTGCAACGGAAGTAGATAAAACTTGAACTCTCCAATCATCATCTAAATGAGATTCAGATATACGTTTCGATTCAGAAAATTTCGATCACTTTGAGCGGATTTGTTGAAGTCATGAAAAGTTCCATCGGAGATTATATTGCATGACTACGTCAAGGAAAGTGAAGAAGGGGACTAAAGAATTACCAAACACCAGCAGTTAGAATCAAGGTAAGGCTTGAGGAAGGTGGGTATAGCAAGGGTGGAAACATTCAATTTTTTCAAGGCACACGCCATCTTATCCACTTCATCCAATTCAATCCCTTTAGTGCAAAATATTGCATCACTGTCGCCCATGGTTGCGCAGCTGCTGAATGGATGGAATGGATAGACATAATGTGCTTAAGGATGAAAGCACCAATTTAGTCAAATTACAGGTTAGAAATTGAAAGTAACTTACATGATAGCATGTGACGACATTTGCCACTTTCTCGTTTGGGTTTGAAGGTCCAAATCCAGTCATCAGAGAGTTGGCGCGATTGCGAAGGTTCAGAGTTTGCTGAGGTCATGCATATTTAGGGACGGAGGCGTTGTAAGAGAGGAATTCAAAGTGGGTAGAGGAACGAACCCCTCAACTAGGTACCGTCTCCGCGGGCTGCTAGTCCTTTCGCCCTACTGTTCTGCATCGTGTTAGGACCAATACTCCGCGGAGGCGGTATTTGATTGAGGTGTTCGTTCCTTTACACTTCAAGATTATTCAAGAAGGGGGAATGTGTCATTAGACTATCAACTTCGTAGCACGCTAGGTTTGGAGTTGGTACTAAGAAGGTTTATGGTGCTACATACCTGTCCAATAAATCTCGCAGAGTTCGCAGCACACTGCCAACGCTGTTTTGGAGTAGGAGCAGTGGAGAACGGTGGCATATTTACACTTGCTGGTAGAGCGATATTGTTCTCTTCGGCTGTAATCTTATGTATAGAACTCAAAGTCTATATCTGCATGTACGCATGCATGTCTTTATGTGTGTTTGGATGTTTGTCGTAAATCATGAATGCAAACTCTTCCTACCAAGCTTTGCAAACATAAACTTTTGGTGGAGCGCGTGTTACTTTTTTGTCCAATGCCGATTTAATATCTTCAACAAATTTTAGACCAGGAAGCTTACAAGGGAATGGTCAGAAGTCGAAGTGGCCAAACCAAACAAGCTGCATACCATTCGATGCAGCATAAAATGCTGATTTCAAATCTGTCTTCCATATCTGCAGAGCGCCTTTGTAGGCGAAGTTATGAGCAGCTTTAGTGCGAAAAAACCGTATACAAAAATTGCAAAATTAGGCGCATTATTGCTCTTTCAGCTCAACTCCAGGTACGGGTCATATGATGTGACTTAGTTGCATGTTCTGGTCTGACAGTGAGCTAAGAATGGCTTTGTACGGCCAAATTTGCACTTTACATGCCCAATTTCTTAGCAAAATAATGGCCTTCAACGGCTTATAATTTCATCCACAAAAGCGCTCTGCAGATAAGGAAGACAGATTTAGAGTCAGCGTTTTATGCTACATCTAATGGCATGCAGCTTGTATGGATTGGCCACTTCGACTTCTGACCATTCCCTTGTTGGATTTGGCAGAGGAGGAAACATGGTATTCACAAATACAAAAGTTCAAAAGTTTCTATTCGTCTTTAAGTAATTTAACAAATTTCAGCAACTAAACATGGTGGGGGACTGAGGATGCAGGATTCACAAATGAGTTAATGGCAAAATCTCATCGATTTTCTGCAAAGTTGAGCTAAGCAAGTGGAATCTGGGTTCAGGTTTATGTGGGCACACTGATTACCAATAGAAACAAATGTTTTATGCCTATAACATTTTTCATAAGGTTGAAAACTTCGGAAATTTTTTAAACTAAATAACACTTAAACAAGTCACTTGCACAAATTTATGAGTTATCATGAAAGCAACATTCCAAATCTCGCGATCCGCTTTGATGGACTTTCTTTTTGGTCGCTCTCTGTTTACCAAGGCTTTGGCCATACTTTACCCGTGTGTTGCCCGTGTTATCGGTATTACGAGTGTTACCAGTGTTACTCGTGTTACTCGTGTTACTAGTGTTACCGCTTTTATAGCTATTAAATTATGAAATAATTCAAATACAATCTCTGTCGCCAACGACAAGGAAAACAAGCGATTATGCTACGATTTGCCTGTTACAGTATTCCTTTCCTTGCAAACTTATTATAGCACAAACCACTGTGCGAGCAAGTGATTCAGACGCCAGCTGCGCCAGATGGTTTTGGAATGCATTTCAGAGGAGGATCTAACTCGCAAGCCGAGAGTCAAATTGGTCGCTTGACCGACTAAGTGCCGGTGACTTCATTTCTCTTTTACTTATCATTTTATCTCGCTTGGTCATATACGAATCGTAGCCACTGTAGTATTTCATTAAGCCTTTTCACTTTCTGCTTGCTAACAATAAGCTTAACTAGTAGCCAAGACAAATCACTTCTGGCCTTAACACTCACTTGTTATGTAGTTTCTAGTTACATATTTTGTTATTTTGTTGCGTTTATTTTGTTGTTTCTCAAGTAAACGGTTTAATTACTCAAGTTTGAGTTGAGGTACGCTTCGACACGAGTTAGCCCGCGTGGCATCAAGTATATCGAACCACTTTGGTATTAGACGATTATTGTCCTATTTATATCGTGCGTAAACCTCAATTTCAATCTCATTCTAGAACCCAATCTCATTATGGTGAGTAACACGAGCGACATTAGTTAAACGAGTAACACAGGTAACATTGGTAAAACGGGTAACGCGGGGAACACGGGTAACAAGAGTAACACAAGTAACACTGGTAACACCTTTAACACCGGTAACACGGGTGACACGGGTAAAGTATGGTTGGAACCTAACTACCACATAGTGAAGAAATGAATTTTGAGCGTTGACCTCTCCCTTTGTTTGTGCCATAAAGTGCAAAAGCTTACTAGCGTTTAATCCACTAAATGACGTAACGTCGTTTTCAAAAATCAAGTCTGTGGGATTGTGACTGCTACTGCTATGTAATGAGTTGTTAACGCTTGATAGTTGGAGCTATTTAGCACTCAGGTTGGCATGAAACAATCAAAACAATTTCTGTGCCAAAATTATGAAGTTCAGAACGCAATACGTGTTCGCTACCATAGTCTATTACTATCACAACAAATGATTGTGGCTTACCCCACTTCCTTAACCTCTTGATGCATTGATCGACGCGATACCAGTGCTTCGGCGACTGCGATCTCTTCAAGCTCCCAGCATGTAGGGCGCTTAGGTGCTGCAGCAAAGCAGTGAACATCTTCTTGTGTGCCTAAGATACGGAAGTCGTGCGGAATTGCAATGCAAGCTTGGATATTTCTCTTTTGAAAGGAACTGAGTATTCATGTACACAACGTGCTTATATAAAACAGAACTGGTGTGTGATACAAGTGCTCAGCTACACGAGACAATATGAAAAGTGAAAAGAAAGTGTAGTAGACTTTCACAGTGAGATGCACGAATTCCTCTCCTGAACAGATTTCATCTGCTTGGTCGCCTTTAAGAAAATATAATACGTTCTTTCTTTCCTTTCTCCCTCCCTTTCCTCCAATTTGATACTCATTTTCGACGCTAATATGCACTATGTATTTTCAGGCTACTAGAAAAGCTCAGCAAAAAGATTTTGACGTAAAACGGTGGCTACTAAGGATGCTGCGAAGCCACAAGATTAGTAGTGAGCCAACGAAACAACGGTTTAAGAACGGACGTTTATGTGTGTAACAGCGGACAGGTGCAAAGCTCACATGTATGTCAACCTTTGCCGCTTCACTGTAGGGCTTCTCGAAAAACTTCAGCAATATCTCGGTTACGGTCAAACAGATGTATTGTTCCAGAACTGCACAAGTCGAAGTTAAAGTCATTTTTGCAAGTTCGTTTTGGAGCTGAAGATAGATAGTTCGTCTAATATCGGCTTTACGGCAACAAAATATAGTTAGTCCTTACCTTCTGAACATCCACCAGCATGTTGTGCAAAAGCGCATCGACATACTCGGGTTTGTATGCATCTTTCATTTCCGCATCTGTATCGATATAGCAATGGAGCAGAAATTGGAAGTAAGCCATTTTCACCTAAATTTGCTTGCTTGCAACTAAAAATAACTGATTGTCGCGACTTATTCAAGAGAGCGGGATAGCCGCAGAAGGGTCCCAAAACGTCAGTTCTCGCGCTGCGCTATTCTCACTGCCGCCATAGATACCGCCTGTTCTGCACAAAGTCAATTTCGTCAATGCCTACTCATGGGTAGTCTAGTTACAATAGTCTTCACTACATGGATCAGGCAGCGCCTCCAAACCATCGCTTGTTCCAGAGAAAATGCCAAGGAGACTGGCAGCGCCGCCTTCTGATGAGCTGAAGTCACCCTCACCTAACCGAGCAGCCCCTAGGAGCTAAACCCGCTGGCCCCTAGTAAGCATGACAGGTTATCCTCATCCCACCGCATGTGCTATGGTTGTACATTTCACTCAGGATCGACATGTTGTATCAATCATTGATGTGGTATGCCTTAGGCTTTGGCTGGGACTCGTAATTTCGACGGTGCATCTTGTTTTATTATACCAATACGTTTTGAGCGATAAAAGAGTGGTAGCTAATGCTTATGTATTAGAGGCAGTGACTCGGCAAGACTGAACATATTGAATTATAATGACGTTGTCGCAAACTGCAAAATGGGGGGGGGGGGAGAGAGGGAGGATTCGCGATTCCCCTCACACCGTTGGAGGAGGCACGCTGCAGTGTTATAACCAGGGTCAAGCGTGCTGATGCGATCCGGGACCCTCATTTACGACCCCCCCCCCCCGAAGGTACCCATCCGTACGACCCCCCCCCCCCCGCCCTCCCCCCCCCCACACACTCACCCATTTATCCCTCTTACCTTCCCTGCCCACATTCCTCGCGGTAACCTGCATAAACGAATGTCAATCAAAAAAAACACTTGCGTGAGAACTTCAGTGAGGTTTCGGAAGCAGATTTTCTAGGCCAATGGGTGCGTCCATCATCTCTAGCACACATATACACCTTTAATAAGGTTTGAGATTCTGCAAGTTTTTTTTTGAATTTTCAGGCATACTTCAGGCCAGCAAATTCGATTCGTAGGCGACACAAATTTTTGCACGGAGAAAAAAATGACATCCTCGAACTAAAGATGTTTTCGACTAAGAAGCTTACTTCCTACCTCTTCCACAGTTTTTCCCGCGAAAAAATACCTGAGCGCCGTCCACAACGACGTCAAAAATGTGCATGAGCACAGTAGTTTGAAAACTCGTAACTAAGGCCAGAAAAAGATTGAGAGGCTGCAAAGCATAGATTCTGTAGTATATTGCCCAGACTATCCAAAGAAAAAGTTTCAGCTCTTGAGGAGCAGTAAGCTCGAAAAAATTTAGATGCGACTCTCGCAAATTTAGATGCGATCCTAAAAAGCAAAAACTGGGATTTTTGAGCTTAAAATTTTGGAACTTACCAGAGAAGTTATAAAACAGCCTGCAATTTTTATGAGGGAAAGTAGGAGGATGGCCTCATATTACAGCAGAATTGTGGCCAGCAAGCTTCAATAGCTCCGAAGAAATTTAGATGCGACCCAGATACGACCCCCCTTTCCTCACTTTTTGCTACCATACATAAAATCATAAGAAAATCCACAGTTCACAAAATAACACCAGATTTCGCACAGTAATATTAGAGCTTATTCAAAGTGCATATAAATTGTAAGGGCCGCATAATTTGCATTACAAAAAGATTTACGAATTATTGATTGTCATCGTTGATATAGATGTGCGCTTTTGTCGAGTGTGTGAGGTTTCAGGAAAGCTTCAGAAGCAAGATTTCTGGGGCAATCGGTATATTTAGCATTTTTATTAAATAATACATCCTTCAAAAGTGTTTTGAGCTCCTGTAAATGTTTTTTTTTGAGAATTTCTACAAATTTTTTATCTTTTTTGTTCTGATTTCCACATTTTATAGATTTATTGTAAACAACATAATCAGGGTCAAGCAAGGGGTGTGGCACACAATCGCTGGTTACAACCCCCCCCGATTGCTGTCTTAATAAGACCCCCCCCCCCTGAACTATATACCTAAGATAGCATTACCAGAGTTGAGATGTCAGGCACAAGTCTTTCGAAAACAACCCTCCCCCCCCCCATGAAAGCCCTCAAGCGACCCCTTCTTCCTCCTCTTAACCTCTGGACCTCAAAGTGTGACATTCTGGAGGACACCAGCTTTTTCTAAAGAGTTTTCAGATTTCTGAGAGCTGTACGCCCGATTTTCTGTGACTACACTTTACAATCACACGTAATTTGACGGCTGATTTTGATCTGAATGGGCATATTGAAAGGGCCATAATTTTCTTATGGGTGGGGCGTTCGGCTCCAAATTTCCAGTGTAGCAAGAAGAAGCTATGGGCTCAATACTCATACCAGCAATGGAGCGCTTTCTGGATTTTGAAGGCAAGTTAAGGGGGGTGCGGCACACCCCCTTAAAAGCTGCGGCAGCCGCAACTTTTAAGGGGGTGTGCCGCACCCCATTAACTATATCAAAAAAACATTTTTAGCGGACAGTATTTATATGAATCGATAACCTAAACCTTGTAGATTCCATAGGACTGTTTGGAGCCTGATTCGTCTTCTTAGCTCTGAGTAATATTTGGTGAAAGCACAGCGATCAAAAGCGAAAAATGGAAAAAAACGAGATTTTAGTTGGCTTCTAATTCCACAGTCTACAGGTCTTCTGAAGCGGGATTCCTGAAGTGGACAAGGAAGGAGTAGTGCTTTGTCTTGAGTGCAAAAACGGATAGCTAATTCATCTTTGAAACAAAGTTAACCATGTTGGAATTTGACAACTTCATTTAGGTAGCCTAGTATCTTGAATCTTCAGAATTCGCTCACACTTTGTCTACAGGGGTTAGTTGACATGCTAATTATGGATATGATACAAATATCATGTTATCACAATTATCAGATTACCCAACTACGACCCCCTCCCTTTTGACTCCTCAATACGACCCCCAGGTGTGGCGTGCCGCACCCCACGCTTGACCCTGGTTATAACCGTGAGGGTCCAGCAACGACTCCGCGTAAAAATTGGCGGAGAGCGTTCGCCCGTCCAAATTCAAAATGGAGGACCTCGAAAGTTTCGTTTTCGCAATTTTCGCCCCCTCCGAAATGGACGTTTGGGATCAGCGCATTGTACACCCCAGGTGAGCGAGAATTTTTTTGACCGAAATTTGCCGACCTACTGCCTAACAAGATACACAGGTGTGTGTCAGTGAGTGGGGACTCTCAGTCGCAGGTTGATTAAGGATAACTATAGGTCACTCATAAACGTGAAAATGGCGGCGGCCGCGCGCGTCGCGCGCGCAGTTCTGATAACCACAATTTCTTTGCTTTTTTCTCTTTGCAAAGCATTTTTACAGTTCCTAGGCGCTTGAAGTGATTGAGCTGAATACAGTGTTTGACTGTTTTACGCTCTTGTAACGCTTGAATTGGCGCAACAACCGCAATCGAGTCCGTTCCATCGTCCAATTTTATGAATGCCCCTTAGGCTGGTGACGTAGGGACTCTATGATAGGCAGTATTACACCGTGGCACTTACAATTAGTAGCAAAGGTGACAACCATTCACATTATTGTTCTCAATTCCCCCACCCCCTCGCCTCCTCCTTCACTGGCTTGTACGCTGATGCAGGAGAGCTCTATTCGCTCGACAGAAGATAAAAGCCCAATCCGCGACACTTATCCAAAAATCCAACAAACCTCTATTAGACAGGACGGCGATGTTACTACCCTCACAATGTGATCCATAGGAATTTCTGAAGCGCACTTCAGCTCAGTGCTCCCGTTCTTTCCTCTCGTGCATAACGCTAATAGCCTGAAAGAATTTGAGAGTATAGGTTAGGTATGGCTCAAGTACTGTGTCTTACCTGACCAACTCAATATGGTACTTCAAAGGATGCGTATTATCAAGATAAGGAGGAGCTTGCTGCATCATTTGCTCGAGTTGTTCAAATGAAGCGTTGTCGACGTAGAGGGAACGAACTTCGTCAGAAGCAGTACATATCTAGCATTTGAAGTTATGAAGTATGAGGTGCTTTAGACAGATTTGCTCATAAAACCATTGTATATTTTACCTCCGTGGCCACTTTGTCTTGTGTGGCTTCTACCTCTTTGTCATGAATGCAGACCAAAGATTGAAGCAGCTCCAGAAACACAGCATTTCTTGACTAAACAAATGTCGTAAATGGTAAACTACGAAATTTTTATTGATCCAGTATCAAGCGTAATTGTCTGACCTTGTGCTCTATAAGGTTTACGATATGTGCTATTAGATCTTCCGAGACATTACTGGCGAGTTCACGATTGTGTCTGAATATCGCTACCAATGTAGCAGCCTCTTCTACCTGAAAAGTTTAGTGAAAAAAGCACATAGTACAAGTTCCATACTGAGAACTTACCGTCTCTACTCTCAGCATTCCTTCTTTGGCATCTTTTTCGATTGAAATAAACTTGTGCAATCGACTCTGATTTTCTTTATTACCCTTGCAAAAACTGCGTAGAAACTCATGGGATAGGGTGATCAGCTTTGGCATTTCGGCGTCGTTTTTCTAAATGTTGAGTTACAAGCAGAATCAAACAATGCTGAATTTTTTATTCTCCTATGTGGGATTCTGAATGGCGAGTTCCGCCTCAAGCCATTGCCTAAGCGACAGCTCATCTAAGTTATTCGTGGCAGGGTCATTCTGCTCTAAACTCGTGATACCATACGCGAAGACGCTGATTGGTCAGCAGAAAAGAGTACGGTACTGAGCGACAGAAAGGACTTATCAGCGATTGTTTCTATCTTATATACAAGGCTGAATGTCTGCATGTCCACCTGTATGTCTGTGTGTATGCCCAGAGTAGAAAAATCCATTTTTGAACCGATCCGAGCCGAACTTTGCGCACATACACTTCGAATCGGGGTGGGTGTCGTAAGTTACTTTTGGTCATTCAACGGTATCGATTTTATCGATTTTTTGCAAAATTTGACCTACGAGACTGGGAGTTTCTATAGGGGGTAGTGAGCATGCTTGTTACGGAAACATAGTGGAGGCAGGGTACTGGTATAAAGAGGGGTAGGAACTGGGACAAGGGAATGTTGTACGGAAAAAGGGCATGGTGATTTCTGTCATAGTGTGTTGAAAAAGCCGGGTATGCTAGATATTTTAAATGAATCCTTTGAGGTGCTGCTTGGGCAGAGGCTTACCTAGGACCTCCCAATCAGTGTACACATAAGAAAAATAGGTTTCAGATTTGTCTCAAAACTGCCTTTGAGAAAACAGAAGATGAACTAAGGAAAGAACTGCTACCTTGTCATACGGTATGCTCAAAAATTCCAGAACAACTTCGTAGACGCGCATGTTCTTCAATAGCTGCTGATTCATACTATCTGGTCTCGACTCGTTCCAACGGTCTTTTTTATAGCAAAGTTTCTTCAGACGGACCAAAATCTGGCGAATCAATGGATATGCTATCAGTGGAGTACGATCGCTTAACTCTTGCAGTGCAGCAGCGGCTAGGTTTCGATCTTCGCTAATCAATAACTGCAAAGGGAACGTATTAAGCAGCAAAAAAATTTCAAAAAATTCTCAAACCTGATTCAGGAGTTTCAAGCACTCCCTACGGCTACTTGGATAGTGTTCGTCGATAATGTCAACCACTGCTTTCAGGCTTTCATCCGTCGCAAAGGCTTTCGGCGTATTCAGTTCGTGTTCTTCAAAGTCCGATTTTGTACTGTAACAGACACGCTCAAAGCTTTGAAATTTTTGGAGCAATGCCCAGGTGAAATCTGGGTAGATATTTTACGGGATACAGATTGGAGGGTCTCAACTTAATCAATATCCAAGTGGCAGCTCATACGATTTATTCGCGGCCGAGATATATAGCTCTCAACTCTTGCCCAGTATAGTATCCGAATGCCCTGATCAGGAGAATATACGGTAGTGGGCGAGATCTCAGAGCTAAATTTCTGGGCCGCGAACAGATCGTTTGAGCTAGGCTTGAGCACTGGCTTAATTGAGGCCTTGCAACCAGTATCCAAGTAAGAAGCCCAGGCACCCAGATTTGCCCGGACACGGCTTTTGAGTTCCCCGCACAACCAAACATCACAAATGAGGATCAAACAATGGGCAAAAAAACGCAACCAAGGTTTCCCGCTGGTGAACTTAGGATTTAGCCCATGGCCATCAACCTTTCGTATAACATGCACTTATAATAGTAAAAACACCTCGCCAAATCATGTGCTTTTTCTTTCCAGTCGCGACTTCGTTGAAAGAAACCGACAATACGATCAAGTGAAAGAAGACTAAAAGATGATATTTACTTATAACTTCAGCGATTAGGGAGCTAAGAGCTGATGCAAAAAAGTCCTAGTTCATTACTTACATATTTATTTTCTACAGAAATGCCAAATTTCTAACTTTTGAAAGAGAAGCAAGTGAATTGTCTATCTTTTATCAACGCATAAACCAATATAATTAGGATTATTTCATCAATTTTGCATACTGCAACCGTTATAAATATCTTAAGTCATTATGGTCATGATATTCATCATTTCATACATTATTTTTCCTTCTATGTCCATAGAATCCAAAACTCACGTCTTATCGTCCTTATCATGATCTTTTCCTTCCACGGAATGGTGACGATCACCATGTACCCACAGCTCAGATTTTTCCGTCAAATTTTTCAAAATAAACAAATCGCGATCCACCTGACGATAGTTCTCAACATCATCTGATGAGACCAGAAGTTGAACCTAGAACTTTTGGCTAGATAAAAGTACACTGTTGGGGGGGGGGGGGGGGGGAATTATTAACCTGTTTCAGATCTTCAAGAAGCTCCTGATATTGGGTAAAATGGCGGAAAAGAACTTTTAGGGCGATGCTGGTCAAGGGTGGATAGTCGGACATGGTCATCTGAAACAATACTCAACATAAATCATTTACTATGAGTAAAAATCGTCACCTGCATAAGGATAGCTAGTAACAGTTGTCCATCTCCTCCATCAAGATGTAGCTCATGCCCTGATGACTGATAAATGGCTTCGTAAAGCTCATGCGCCATACGTTCATTGATGTCTGGATTTGCTAATTGATTTCATTTTGAAAAAATTAAATTCTCCAAAAATTCTTACTTGCAGTCTGATTTAAAACGCCATGTTCATCACATGGAAAGTTCCTCTTGAACCATGATAGCGCCATCGTGATGCGATAATCACGACGGACATCCATTACGAACTAAACTTCCATTATTCCCTCTGACCAATAGCGAGGTGCGAATTACTGTAATTATCGTACCTGCAAGATCTCGGCGACTATCAGTTTTGTTTTGACTAATAGCTGCTTGCTTTCCTTTGTCTTGACAGTATCCTCTATGGAACTTTTCTCCGTACTTTTCGCAGGTCCGTCCAACAGCATAGATCGGCCACCAATCATGGATTGTGTGACTCGATGGATCATCGTCATTCCATGGGATACGGTACGCGCTGAAAAGCAATTCTTGATCTTTTTTGTTTCAAATTTTTGAATTAATCGTACTCACCTGTCTGAGCAGAATGCGGACTGTTGTCAACGATGTTGAGCAGGTTTTCCGTGAGGGTCAACAAGTTGTCAAATGTATAGTATCCAAATTGGGCGAGAGCTTTCGCAAGAGTAACCATCTGGAAAACATGGAATAATTTTACTGTAGCATTACCGTAATCACAGGTGGACTCACCTCATGAGTAAGCTTATTGGTGGGAACGCTTGTTGAATCTTCCTTGAGCACGGGTCCAGATGAATGGCGCTCAATCAAGGAGGCCAGATAGCTCTCGACTGTATTGAGTACCTCAAATCATTTCATTTATATGTGAGTTGCTCAACTCGCGCGACTCGCGCAAGGGTTACGCACGAGCTTACAAAATATGTGTGCAAGTCGCGACTGGAACATCACCAAGTGGAAAAACGGTGATTTCTGCTTTTTAATTTCCAAAGTGGTAACCGCGTGAGCTCAATAAACGACACCTAAGAGTCGTGCGCGATTGCTGCACTAGCCGTGCGCGAGTCGCACCAAGTTGATAAACTCACATCGTTTGCAAACTGTTCCCCAACTCTTGCTCTTCCTCCGTCGCTGTACCCTTCCACAGATGTGGTTTTATAACTGTAAAATCCATCAAGACTGTGCATATGCATAAAATACATATTGATTGACTTACGATTGAACTCTGACTTCATTTGGGATGTCAGCCCATAGTCGAGCATGTCTTATGGCACTCAATGGACTTCCACGAACCACATGAAGATGAAGCATTAGACGCGTAAACGACGCACGGACTTCACACGGTAGCCGCCCATCGGACATACATCTGGAACAAGATGGTCCTGGTGAGGCAAGTACTACGGTACCGCAGTCATACTGTACTTCAGAACCAGTTCAGCTGGTAGTTGCTGCGAGATATTCATTAATTTCCGTTCTGGTGGTGGATCTATGGCAAGATATTGTTGCTCCTGGCACATCTGCGCGAGCAGGTCAAGCTGATGCCTATAACTGGAAAAACTGCGAGATTATCCATCGGAAAAGGGGATCTGACCTATAATAATCCAAAAATTCCGATTCACTTGTACTGTAGGTAGCTGCTTCAGCAACATCAACTAGACGCCTTGGGGTCTGACCTATCCAGCCAATGTGCACTTCATCGTCAATCTAAAGTATTTTATAAACATTAGCAATCCGTAGCCTAACTTTGAGGAGGAGGGGGGGGGAGGACAAAAACACGCCCTCAAAAATTTTTGACGCTACTACATTCTGCTTCTAACCTCAAAAGGAGCCTCAACGGTTACAGAAAGAGGCGTAACGGTTACAAAAAGGGGTGTGGTGCTGCAATGCTATTTTAACGTTTTCCTCAAAAAATTCTAAAAACTTGGTTTACTTACAGATCAAAGACTACTTGGTTGATTATCGAGACCAACTTTGAAAAGTTTGCTGATCATGTTTTTGGGGCCCTCGCCTCTTCATTTGCCTACATATTTTTCGGGAGGGGGAGGGGGGGGGTCGATTTTGGTGGGATTATCGTCTTACTTGACCAACTTCTCAAATTTACATGAATTCAAGCAAAGTCTAGGTCCCACGAAAAAATTATAGCGACCATTCTGAAGTGACCACCGCAATCACACTTTCCTCCCCTCTTCCGCCTAATTTTTTCCTTACCGCTTGTCATCTCCCTATCAGTATATTAACACATGATAAGTCCAGAAAAAATTATCCCATATGACGACTCACCAACTTAGTCTCCATGAAAATGTCTCGATGTTTCTCGCTCAGTACAGAATTGCAGATCAACTCCTGCACTTTCTTGTTTGCTTCACCACGGCATACGCAAAGATCAGCAAGGTAGTCGAGGAATCTGGAAAATTCTCCTTAGGACCATTGAGCAGGCTAGCAGAGGAGTATGAAAATAAAAACACTGCTCATAAATACCGTGCATTTTCAACATCATGCTAAAAACTTGCACAACTACAAAATATTGCTCAGAATTTTTCGTTAAAGAGAATTATCAACGACTTCACAAGTTTACGGATACAATCACTATTTACTATCACTGCACAGAGTTAACTTACCTTTACGCTAACAAGATAGATGAGCATCTAAATATCAAAAGGCAAGTATTAGGTTGGTGCAAAAGTAATGCGCGTTTTGCGAGTTCTCGCTTTGACGTGCTATAACTATCTAAAAAGTCCATATTTTTCAATGCGGCAAAGTTCATCAAAGGCACCAAACCTCTCTCTATACAGCGCACATCAACTTAAGTTAACATCGTAAATCGGTGGAAAAATATGGATTGATAAGCAAAAAAAATTTTTTTCGCAAACCTCGTATTCAACTAATCATAACTTCCTTCAAGATTTGTCGGTGTAAACGATAAGTTGACAGTCTTGTAGCCGCAAGCCAGTAGTACAAAAGAAGTACAAAAGGGCTCAAATAAAGAATATTTGCGAAAAGGAAAAAAATGATATTCAAAATTGTCTGCTTTTCTCGACATTTTTTCGTACCCCTCAAAATTCCAAAATATGGAGATTTCTGATTTTCTGTGTACTGAACAGCCTCCACATTTCTGCAAAAACTCTCAACAGGAGGCCCACCCTTACGCTTACAGAAATGAGCAAAACTTTGGCGATCGCCCTCTTCAAAGGAAATCTATGGGCCACAGAATGGCCAAAACCATCACTCATTTTGAGACGCCGAGATCTCAGTCTAAGTAATTTTTGAGGAAACAGTAAAGCATGCATAACGTAGTAAATTTCTACTACATACAGTGGTTACATTTCCAAATGAATGCCTTCACTCGCGCTTGAATTCTGGCCGAAAAAGTATGTTCAATGAAGTTCTGATTTTGAGTGCGGTTGTATGAAGCTCTACAAATTTTTAACGAATGAGGCTAGAAGCTTCTTTCAACCAGCATTGAATAGAGCATGAAAGAAGCTTCTTGACAATATGCTGGGTAAGTTTCATAAGAGAAATTTCGATGGAGAAAAGCTATCTTGAAACAAGGGTTAAAAAAACGCGCATTACTTTTGCACCAACCTAATAATTCCCAGCTCTCGGCAAAACTCACTTTCCAAGGCGATTGTTTCGGACAAGTTCCACAAAACGCTCAATATGCGGTGTCTTCACATATTTCTCCAGAAGTTTCGGATTGTTGTGCAGTACAGCTGTCATTGTATCCTCGGCGAGTAGGTCAAAACCAATTTGTTCCTAAAGAAACTGGTAAAATTACACAAGGAAGGGTAGTCCACTGTTCAGCGGCACATTGTTCTTTACTTGTAAGCGAAAATTTGGAAAAAAAGAACTTTTTTATATTGTCGGGTAAAGCTTCATAATTTCTAAGCGATTTGACCATCCCAAAAGATTTAAAACGAAATCTTTTTTCTAGTTAAAAAATTAACCGGTTTCATGCAATAATCGCATGATAGTATTACTCATGGATATTTTAGTTTTGTAGTTTAGAAGATTTTTTGAAAACTCAACCATTACTACGCCTGAATTTTTTTTCGGGAAAGTTCTTTCACAGCAACATTGGTCAATAAAAATTTCTCTAAGAATTTGAATACCTGAATCTGTCCAAACTTCTCGGCGAGGAACTCCTGATTTTTTCTATAGCTCACTTGAGAATATCTAAAAAAAGAGAAGAACCTGTTGAGGAAGTCAGAGATTCATATAACCTAAAATCCCATAGATAAGAGCGGTTTAATTTACCGGTGAAAAATGCATTGGAATGAAATTGAAATTGAATGCAGTCCCCCTCTAACTTGATGGATGGATAAATAAAAATCGGAGAAGAAGTTTAGAAGAAGCTCCGCCCCTCAACTCTAAACCCCGCCCACTTAATAAACAATTCATATAGAAATTCCGGAATTCCGTTACAATCGCTATTTTTCTATATGAATTGTTTATTAAGTGGGCGGGGTTTAGAGTTGAGGGGCGGAGCTTCTTCTAAACTTCTTCTCCGATTTTTATTCATCCATCCATCAAGTTAGAGGGGGACTGCATTCAATTTCAATTTCATTCCAATTCATTTTTCATCGCTAAATTAAACCGCTCTTATCTATGGGATTTTAAAGTAGTTCTATTTCTCACCTTAGCAAACTGTAGCACAACTGAAACATCGTTTTAAAAACCTCATTCCTCTGCTCGCTGAGATTTGATGGTGAACTCAGCAGTGGACCTATTTCCGTGACACCTTGTCTTGGCATGAAAGGAGCTTTGAGGAGTTGGAATATCTATGAGAGCATTATATGCGGGGTAACTCGTCCAGCAGGTTCATTTGCCCACCTGGTCAAGCACTTCCTGTTCTCGTAGAAGCTTTTGACGATCTCGCGATGGGGCAAAATCGTTGATTTGGAGAGGGTCCATCATATGATTGGAAGTATTAGTGACAAAGTAGATACATTCAACCAGTAGTTGGATTGTCACGCTGGAAAGAAAGTTTACAAGGTCGTTGGTAAAAGGATCTTTTGAAAAAGTAGAAAGTATGCTGCAGCTGTTTTTGGAAATCTCATGGAAGCACAAAATAGAATTTTAGGTTGCAAAGCTAATACTTTTGATCAGTTTTAAAACTGAGACGAACACACATCAAATCTTCTGTATTTTTTTAGCCCATAAGAATTCAATCATAAAAATTCCCATTTTTGTGTTTCAAAAATATGGCAAAAAATCTCAAAAATGTTTAGCTATGAACGAAAAATATTGATGGAACTGGAAAAAAGCAAAGAGATGATGTTTTTATGGGAGGAAAAAATATTAGAAAGACCAATTCGAAAAGAGCAAAAAAGATTAGAGTTAAGGCAAAAATGATAAACTTTGACTTACTTGATCGACTCTTTCGTGACGGGATCACCACTCTTGATATGCCGAATAAAATCCCTCAGTGCTCTGCAAGCATCATTTGCGAAGTCCAGGTCACGTACCTATAATTTCTTGCTCAAAGTAAGGTACAATCACTCCTTTTTCAATTTTTCAGCTTCTGAGGACCTGGATTAGCGTACCATTTAAAAGCTGCTTACCTCATTTGGTGAAACTGGTAAGAGCGCGAAAGTCTCCTTGTCCACCCGGGTATTTTCACAAATTACTCGTACCCAGCCTTTTTCGTTCTTGCTAAATAAATCAAGATAAAACCTCAGAAACTTTTACAGCTATTTGCACCTGCTATAGTACAAATTCTGCTTATCACTGGGATTCGTGGCGTGAACCCATGTACTGGTAGCTTCATGCTGTAGACGAACATAGGACTTGGTAGGGACGTCTTTGTTCTGAAAAAAATAATTTGGTATGTTCTTCTCTGCAAAAATCTTGCACGCTTACTTTTGGCATTGTTCCAGGATCAAGGCAGAACAGCAATTTCTTGTCCGATTCAGGAAAGTCGGACTTTACTGGCACCAAATAGTACGTGGACCATGTGGACTCTTCTGTGCTTTCTGCAAGAAAATTGAAATTTCCACTACTTCAACACACCTCATAAAACCATGGATAATACAGGCAAATTTTTCAATCCCAAGAAATAAGCAAGATCTTGAACCTCGGAGAAATTGATAAATCAACCTGTTTTCCCAAAAGCAGAACACTGTAAATTCCTTCTAATGAACTGGATTTTTGATGCTGATGAAACTTTGTCATAAATACTTATCCGTTTGCCACTTATTTTATTTTAAGATATGTTTCAAGACTCTAAAATTGATTAACCATAGCTTTGTACCTCCTGCTGGTAAAAGTAAGAACCTCCCCGTCTATTTTCGAAATTTTAGCTTACTAAACACATACTCCTACAGCTTTATAAGGGTGGGTGAAACACCTACAGGTTAAACCAGTGCTTCCGTTTTGTTGTGAAAACACATCGCAGACTTTTTTCCAAAAATTTGAAAGTTGGAAGCTTGCTAAAAATTTGCAGAACTTCTCTCAGTGCTTTCGAACAAGGACCGCCATTATTGTGCATGACATCAGTTGAACTCGTGGTTGCACTGTTTGTTTTCCCGTATTCTTCACATCGCAGACTTTTGTAATGCTATTTCACCCAGGGGGAACCAAAATGTTGAGATCGTGGACCATTATGGCTTAATTAGTTACTTCAAGTATACGGTAGGTGTCAAATGGACTTGCTCGTACTGTCGTAACTTGGAGAACCCGCAGTCAAAATTTTGAGCGAATCTGGTACCTACCTGCTCACCGCTCCCGGATAAGGGACTTTAGCAGAGGATCGACTTCAGCGGGTTAACTCCCCCCTCCCCTTTGTGTAAATTGAGTCCGAATAAAACAGGGCTAACGAAAACACCCGGATAAGACTGAAGGTCTATGCATTGTTAGACATAGGGTAAAAGCATAACTAGAGTTTGTAAAAATCTATTTGAGAGAAAATCGAAGCTCACCTGGACCATCAGCGTATAGTGTCGGCGGCGCAAGAAATTCGGCTTTCGTCCTAAAAAGAAAAGTTCAGTACCTTACGAGCGGAACTTATCCGACTTAGTATGGGTGTTAGGGTAACGCAGGTCAAATAAGTAAGCTAAGTCTAAGTAGGTCAAGTGAGGGTTTAGGAGCTAAATATGTGCAAATTAGTAATAAATGCGAGAACTATGCCCAGAAAAAAGTGGGTTAGCGAATACCATACTATGATCACCCCCTACTCACCTCTCCAGTGTTCCTTTTTTGCTGAAAATACTTGCAAATCATGGAAATTAATGGTTCATTGATTAGTGAAATCTTTTTTCAAAATTTGCCAAATACTCACTTCATATGCATAAGACTAGCCCTTCTTCCATTAGCGGCCGGCTTTAATGGAGATGATGCTGGGACTACAGTAAGATACATGTCTGTAGCCAAATGTTTGAAACGGTAATATTCCCGCCATTTTGCTGCTCCACCTCGGTACGCGTCTTTTTGCACCACCTAAAAAATTTCTTCTCCAGATTCAATGTCTTCAAAGTAGCCTGCGTCATACCTGCACTTCCCAAAGGGCGCGAGAACTAGTGGCATCAGCTGCGGATGGTCGGTTGGTCATTCTTAGGAAGACAACGTCTTGAGGTGGGCAAGTCTTTGGTACAGCATCCAGGGTAAGGAAAGTCTGCTGGTCAGCGTGGAATAAGCGGACCACATCTCCCTAGAATTAATGGGTCATTCGAATCATTTAACCCAAAGTAAACAGTTATTTCCTCCAAACCGTAAGTTCTAAAGTGTTTCTATAATATTTTTGAGCTAACCATTTTTGGAAATTTGATATCAATGAAATGATTCTGATGTAATTTTACGATAATTGCAACAAATCAGGGTAGTCTCCGTCAGTAGGCTTAAGCTGCGCGGATATTTGTCACCAGCTATGCACCTCTAGACATCATGCCCTGTACCAGATGTCCTCGCAAGCGGCTTTCTCGGTGGTACGATCTTTTATTTATCCTTTTGTTTTTTAATCTATTTTTTATTCCGTTGTTGTCCAATAGCAATTTCGAGAAAAAAAAATGGATCGGAAATTTTTAATACTTGTTCAGTACAAATGCAAACAAAATGAACAAAAAATCGGGGTGCTTACCGATTTTACAATATCCGGTTGGTTTTCATTGAATAATAGAAACATGTACACTTGCCATTCTGTTGTTTCATTCAAGCAATTCACCTAAACCAGGTGTAATTGACATGTACCAAAGTGAAAAATCAGGAGAAAAAAGACAGAAATAAATTTTCAAAAATATGACTATCAACTTCAATTTCTTACCTCAGCTGCTGTCTGATGATCCTTTAATAGACAATGACTAAGATGCAGCTGATGCTTGACATGACCAGCTGATGGCTGATTGTTGACGCAGTACGGTATCAAAGATACCTTATTGCCTGCGGCTACCTTAAGAGTTATGAAGTATATCTAGTCATAAGAGCCATATTCATATGGGAAGAGAGAAACAAGTAAAGAATCGTGTAAATAAAAGGAAGGCGCAAAAGAGGCTTACACTATCTCCTATGACGAAGTGCTTGTAAGCTGGTTCGATAATAAACCAACTGCCTTCATTACCCGCTCGATCCAGATAGACCTCAAATAGAGAAAATAAAAAAACTGCCATAGATTTGAAATAGAAGATATTTTAATCGTATATTATTACTCAAAAATAGTCGAAAATGAAAGATAAAAACCGTTAGCCATGACACATATTACATTTGTATGTATATCTCGAGCTATGAATGTAAAAAGGTTGGTTTTATCCAAAAAAGAATAATATACAAAATAAAAGAATTTACAGCTTTCATCCCTTGACATGACTTCGTGAATACCCGATTACTAAGTCAGTGCCAAATCATCCTGCTAAGTTACCTCCCTCCCCCCCCCCCCTCCCCCCGGATATAGAGGGCTCAGTTATCTCAGGGCCTAGATCGAACTTTGGTCCGAAAGTCATAGCGATAGTCCATACCAAAACAAAGTTAATAGTGCTAAAATCAAGAAAACATGCGAAAAAATTGCAAGACATTTATGATTGGGCATGGACTTCCTTTTTTCAAAGACATAAAAGAATTCGGAAACGAAGATAAGAAAAAGAGGAGTGCGATGACCAGGCATGATAAAAGGATTCCGGCACTGGGTGAATCCGCCCCTCTAACTATACTCCGGGTCGTATCACGCGGAATTCTTCATTCTTTGTGCATTTATTCATACTTTTCTCATTTCCTTTTGTCTCCATACTATCAGTGAGCATGCTTGGTTGATTGTGAAGTAGAATACACTTTTGATTGCTGGTAAGAAATATTGCCATAATTCTCTCCATAACCACTCATCTGGCGCGATACTTGAAACTTTATATACTTTTCGAAAAAGAAATCTCGGAATTAATCAGCACTTCACTGAACTGCTGATTTTCTATCGATTCAGAGATCAACTCAAAACTTCGAATATGCTTTTTAGGCTACCGTGACTCATCGTCGCGAAAAAACAATCATGACTGAGTTTCAATAAATAAAGATATAAAGGCGGAATTCAGAATGCAAGGGCAGCTCACACGGAACGTACAGTAGTCACGTTACAGTACTATCGAGTAATTTTGTTCGTATTATTTCTTGTCAAAACATTGATTACCTTCATGGCATTCCTCTCGCATTTTGCTGGTGAATTCTTTTGCACAGTGATATATTTATCCGATTTTACATGTAACAATTGCACAGTGGTACCATATTGTATGACATTTCCCTGCGTTTTTCGGAATTCCAGCTCATTCTGCTCTTTTTCCTGGAAGTATAGAAGAATCTGGTCGGAAAAGCAGAAAGCAGATATCACAAAGTTCGAAAACCAACTTTCTCAGCTGCGATGCGTAATTTATGCATCATATCGTCATCAAATGTGGACTCGCCGCTGAAGAATCGCTTTTGCTCCGTCCAGAACTGTTTCTGTGCTGCATATCGGTTTACTGGACACACTTTAAAAAGGCAATCTGGAAATATTTGTATTACACAGGCTGGAATATAATAGTAGACTTTCAAGAAAAAATTGGGAAAATACAGATGTTCAATAAACTTAAGGGTTTGAAAACAAGAAGTACACTTCTTTCCACGGAAATCTCATTACTCCAAAGTCGCTCTTTTCCAGAATATGCTCGATATAGGAGATAAAGGACTGAAGTGAATGTTTTCAAAGGAAAGAATGCTTTTGAAGCATTGAGTGGACAACCCCAACATTGGATTTTTCTAAATAATGTTTCAAGACCATGATGAATCTTCATCGGAACACTTACAGCTTATAACTAATCTTTCAAAGGATCCATTTTTTTCTAAATGCAACAAACCAATGTAAGGTAGCTAGTCTCTTCCTCTCGAATTCAACAGGTTCACCTTACTGCATTCGATTGGTGAAAGTTACAATTTTTTGTTTTGAATTTTATGTGCTTTCGGGGGATCTACCTGATTAATGGAAATCTCTGCATACGGCCGGCAGACTTTCCTTACCACCAAAAAGATTCAAAGTGCATAAATTGGAGGAATCAAACATTACTCGGGATACCAAAAGCTAAATTTGAGGCAAAAACAGCAATTTTGAAAAATTGAAAGATTTCTGAGAGAAATCTGATGAGGAAACTCTGATCAAGGACAATGGCTTAGCAGCGCTTAACATCGACTAAGTGAGTAAAAGAATTGCATTTAACCAAAATAAGAATAGATTCTCTTCAGAAATTGATTTAGTCTAAGGAACAACCGGATTGCCTGGATGAACCTGCTCTATTTCCACGCAAAAATAACACATATTTTGGTATAAACTGATATTACTCAAAAGCTTTAACTACATAAAATTACAGCGTTTTATGGATAACTGACATCAAAATAAGTGAATAGTCGAGCATGTAAGTGGAAAAAGCAAATAAAAAACAAAAATGGAAAAAGAAAGGAGGCTAACAAATGAGAAAAGAAACTTCTACCATCGCCGCATCAATTTAAAATTTTTTTACCATGCAGTGGGTGACAAGGGGACAAAATCGAGTGACAACATACCTCTAAATTTCTTGGGTGGACTCTCCGGTCGACCATCTTGTAATTCTACTATACATCGGTCATCGACTAAGCTAAAGTATAAAAATTTAAAAATCTGTTCTGATTCAGAAACCTATCGTGACTCACCCTAATGTGCTGAGAAATCCGCGAAGATCCGAGTTTTCCTCGGTATAAAATGAGATAATATCGCCAAAATGTAGAAAGGACGTGTTTCCACTGTCCATGCTCATACCCATCGAGGTCTTACGAAATATTGGAAATGACATGCTAAAAGGGGTTAGGTTTAGGAGCTTAGGGAACCAAAAAATTTGATAGATCGAAATTTTTTCAAAAACATTTTTTTCAAAAACATTTGAATAAAGTGAATAGCCTAGATTTTCTGCTCTCAACGAAATTCTCTGTTGACTTTTTTGGTCAAGAGTGAGTAATAATACGTAATGGAGCAACAGCATCGCTTAAGCCACGTCTTATCACTCCCTTATCGCTAGTTTTTCATCATTTTGCTTTGGATTCTTGTCATTCTGATGGTTGCAAGAGCACAAATGAATATGAAGTTTAATAAATAGAATTAGGAAATGGAAATTGAAAAATCTAGCTTAATAAATCACAAATTACACCTTTACATGTTTGGAATTATATTCAAAAATTATCTAGAAGAAACAGATCTTTGAAAAAATTTTTCAGGTAAATTAGAAATGTTAATTAAATTGTTACGCAAAAATATGATTTCTGCTGAGGTCTGGTAATTCCGAAAATATTAATTCAAGAGATTGAATAGAAAGGAAGCACACCAAGCCACCTTTCCTCATATAAAGTTCGAGTTGTTAGAGGCATACAGTACCCAAATTTTATTGATTATACAAATATTGCGAAAGAATAATTTAATTATCCTACCATGCAAAAAAAATCTTCCTCCACCGCTTCATGCTTAAATTGGGATGTAGGGAAGGAATAGTTAGTTCAAAATAATAGCTTTGTTGACTCCATCAAGCAGAGAGTATCTTTGACTGGAGAAACTATGGCTTAGACTAAACGGACTTATCCAGCAGCTGCGCTTGAATTTTTACTACTTCATTACCATTAAACGCGAGAAATTTTACTGCGGCGCTCTAATATCTTTGCAGCGGTATAGTTATCTTGCTTAAATACTTTGCCTTTTCAAGAAGAATATTCTCAACTCTTAGAATGCCCATTTAGTTTTCTTGCAGTTGCAGTATACTTTGTGTGAACCTTTACTTACAAGATCTAGACAATTTTTATAGAAGCCTTAGTTAAGTTCAATAATAAACATTGCATATTGCTACAAAACGAGAAGAAATTTGCAGTTACAAAAAAAGGCAGTTACTTCGCTGTAGATGTTATTCGTGCTACTATTTGAGGAAATGCTCAGGCAAATCTGAAATTTTGCTATAAACCCGTACCGTACGGCGCTGGTAGGTCAGCTCGAAAGAGTACGGTACTGGAGTTCAAGAGGGTATTTTTGGCCAGCAATGGATCGTACATATAAGATGCGGCTTAGACAGCGGCTTATTTGACACTTTTTAATTTTTACATTAAAGAAAAGACGGAAAAGGATAGGGAAAAGGATAGGAAGAACATAATATTCGTTCCCAGATTTCCTTGCTTTGACATTTACATTGAAGTTCTCGAAATCTGTTCAGTGGCAAAAAAAAGACCTCGTAATCCTACTCCTTTAGTAGATCCGTTCAGGTTTACATTGCAGTCTGTGTTTATAGTTACAAATTTATCTTACACCGTTTCTATCCTTTGATTCAGCAGGATTGGCGGCCGGAAGGCGGAGGCTAGGGAAAGATCAGAGAGCACGGGCGCGAGAGAGACGCAGACTGCGTCGTGCGAGCGGTCACCTTCTAGCCGCCAATCCGGTTGAATCAAGGGGTACTAACGAACTGAAGTAGGTAATTAAGGTATGCGTCTACGTTTTGTTACTTACAATGTTCAATGTTGGGGAGATCAATAACAATTCTATAGTAAAATAAAATTTTGAGTTATGCTCAGATAAAGCAAGACCCAATATTTGAGAACAAAATTTAGATTTAGGAAATAGACGAAAGATAAATATTAGAGATTATACTTGATTTACACGCAAGAAAAATCAAAGTGTTTCAGCTGCTAAGACAAACATCTGCACCGCTTTTTTTGCACATATATAACCCTGCGGTCTGCAATGTGATAAGCAAAACATCGGAATCCATCAACAAACTCATATTTTATATAGAAATCGCATCATAGCGAATGATGTGTGAAATATCAAAAGTCAGCCGGAAATCAAACAATGTTAGAGCAGCTATTGTTGATGATGATGATGATTCATGTGAAAGGAGGACAGCAGCAAGAGTCATCAACAAAATACAATGGAATCTATATCATGCAATGAGAAAAACGTTTCTAAACTTACTTGCTAAATCACATCGATGTGAAAAGACCTTCTTTGTAAAGATTAGACCTTAATAATTGCAGGTGAACAAAAGGTAAAATTTACGAGAGGATGGCACGGAAAAATTCAAAGATACACAGTCTTCAAGGGGATAGAGTATTACCACAAAACGAAAAGGGTAAGTAGAATTAGAGCGTCAGAAAGGAGGAAAGAAAAGAAGAAAAAGTAGGAAAGGCATGTCCACAGAAGTATAAAAAAGTAAAAGAATCCCCATAAAAGGAAAAAGTCTAAGGGCAAAGCCCCGTTATTTCAAAGCGTTTGTAGAAAATGTAGAAGGCCCATTAGACTACGATTTTTGAAAATTTCTGTCCCTTGCTTGAACCGGATCCCCTTTCTGAACATGTTTATCACTATCAGAAGATGGTTATACAGTCAGAGAAATTAGGAAATGGATACTGAAAAAGATTTTTTAGACTTTGCATCACTTTATTCGATAATATAATTTCAGAAAGGGAATGGCCGAAAAAGCCGACCAAAGCTTAGTACGAAGTAGAAATAAAATTGAAAAAATTATTGAGGCTGGAAGACAGCACTAGCCAAAGTTTTCCTTTCAGTTATTGCGACGAAAGAGAAGTAGGAGATAAAAAGAGAAAGACGAAGTATGGGGAGGAGGATAGGGAAGATGGAAAAGGGAGACAGGAGTAAAAAATGAGAAAAATTCATTTAATGCTTTTCGCATGAGAGTTCTGCAATCATCGAATGGAAATGAAATATGAAAATAGAAAATAATGAAGAATATCATATAAACAACTGTAAGGATAAAGATTTGTTAAGAAAAGGCAAATTTTAGAATTTTTGCTAGGTTTAACAACTGTACATTTTAACAATCGTCGAAAAATCTAGTTAATCGATATTTTTGAAAAAACTTTTTTGACATTGTGATGCAGAGAGCGGAACAAAACCAATAAGGCAAGTATGAGCTCGGCCGAATAATCGATGCACGAAGAAGCGATATCAGTGTGAAAACGATTGATAATCGTTTGTGATGGGCAAAAAATGTCAGGAAAAAGTCAGAAAGCAAAATTCGGTCATAAAAAACGCTTCAATATTTGACCTTGTCTTGCAGCGGCTACCCTATAATAAAATATCAAGCTGCTTTGAAATTTTGAGCATCTCACTGATATATTTATTTACCAAAAAAACGCGGTTGCAAATTCCGTAAGACTGTGACGGCATTTCCACAGAAAGTACTTTCCTGAGAATGGGTTATCACATATCAAAATGTGCAATTTTTTTATTCAGACTCAAGAATAACATTACGATAGTCAATACTAATTTTGAAAAATTTAATAATTTAAAATTGACATTCTCGTATTGCGTATCGTCTCACCACCTCTCAGTCTGACGACCAACACTTACGATAAGATCTCTGCAAACAATGTGTACATTACACGCGTCAGTGTTCACAAGCCCTTTAAATCAGTCTACCGTATCCAGATCAAATTTCAAAAACTATTATTGAAGTATGATCCTACTCCTCCCGTATTGCATCTGCCTTTCAAAAGTATTCATTTGTTCTAAATTTTGCAGACAATGCAGCATCAAAGGTCGCTCGAAAATTGTACTTTCGATTTGTCTGGTGACTCTTCGATCCACATTGGAGTTGGATATGAAAAATTGCTATGCACTAGGAATGGAGATAACAGTGATATGTGGTCAGGACTATCAACAACGGCAATAATTTGACAAAAATTCTAAAATCATTTCCAAAAAGTTTTAAAGTGTTACAGAAGGAGTGATGGGTGTATGTCAAGAGGCGCAATTTTTATTGCCAGATATACACTAATTAGCGCATAATAAGTGTTTTATAGCTTTCTGACTATATTTGAAATCTAGAAGGAGTTATATAAAATAAGTGCATGGGTTGTTCAATCGTAATACCTTGAAATCAATTCGAAACAGCAAAAGCCACCAAACTCGGCAGGTGGTAAGCTCAGGCAGCTAGTAAGCTAACGCACTTTGTCTGGTACTTTTAGAAGACATAACACTGAGCTGGGGTTTTGAGTTGGTCCCAGTCGGATAAATCGCGCCTCTCGACCGTCTCCCAAGGAGTGATAGCAGGAAAAAGGTCGAGTAGTCAGTGTAAAAGGAAGTTTGGAAAAGTTCAGTACGAGCTATTTCTACAAATATAAAATCTATATGAGGTTACAGTATCAAAAAATTTCCAAATTTCTGAACCAAGTTAGAAGTTTGATACGGAATCTAGTACGGATAATGCATACAGCCAGCTGTTCGAAGCCTGTTGCTAGCCTTCCCCCCCCCTCCCTTCCTTCTCTCCAACGTTAGAACATTTAACCTTCAAAGAAAAGAGCAACGCTAGTGATTGTAGTAAATACTTCCTGGATGACTTGTAAGGGAATGAAAAATTTGAAGGTATTCCTCCCCCTAAAGCTTAGAAAATCCAAATTAGCTTTGCGATTCCATGGGACGTGACTACTGACTACTCATTTTTTGCAAAATTTCAGGGTTATGCAAATTCAATCCGAGAAGGCTAGTTACGCACCCTATTCAAAAAAAATTTGTCGCATGTCCCTTTCTCAAAAAAAAAATTTCTTGGACGGACGCGGACTTCAAAGGAGCGGGTGAACGTGAAGTGAGATCGTAGATAGAATTCGGAGGCTTCCGCTTCTTTCAGCTGTAGGAAATTCATATTTGCCTGCTGTCCATGCTAAACGACAAAATAAATTCCATTCTTTACAAAATTTACAAATTTTCACACACTTCCTTCTGATAATTTTTTACCTTTGCAACAAAACGTGGAAGAATTACTCATTTATTTGGTGCTATTGGATCGATAATGATCAGATGGGATTTAGAGTAATAGCTTTAGGACAGCAGATACAAATACGTATTTACACAACTTTTTACACGACGTCACCATCGACGTCCAAGCAGAAGGCATAGTGCTGGCGACGGCAATGGACGGACGAGCCATCGCCGCGTCGTTGACGTGCCGTCGTCGCTTCGACGGTGTCATTATTTGCTGAACAAATAGCACATTTTTGTTCATACAAAGCTATTCACACCATCTCACGGCACACACGTTCATCCACACACAAGCACACACGTACACACATCGCACATCCATAAAAGAAGGCGTGGCATTGATTGATAGCGCTGAACGGACAATGGCGGAAGCTTTTGCGCCCCCCGGCGGGCATGTGTTTGCATATTAATGTCGACAAATGTACAGGCGTGCGATGACACGCGCTCGGTGTCACCGACACCAGCTGATTTTGATTATTCCATGATGTGCTTAGCACTTTCGGTAAATCCATAGCTGAAAAAGTGCCTGCGATAGTGACAGATGTCAAGCTCGAATACATTTTCGGGAAAGCAAAGCTATGGGATGTTGTACGGATGTGATATAGAGCACCGAAAAAGGCAGTTTAAGGTTGTTCTATAGGTTCATTATAAGAGACCTAATAAGAAGAGAATGTGATGAAAGGTAAAACTTTGTAAGTCGGAGGTTTAACAAAATTTTTTTCTGGGAGTTTCTTACCCTCATGCTCTCTAAGAAGTTGAAAACCAGCAGACATAATGTACACTTATAAGCAATAGAGCAGTTGTGATCCTATAAAAGTCAAGGGGTAGAAAAAAGTGAAAGTCTGCAAAAAATAATTTAGTGATAATAATTATAATAATATTGAAGTACAAGAAATTTCAAGCGGTTACTAATTCTTCGTCTTTTTCCGCTAACTAACAGACAATGATAGGTTGACACACAAGTAATACAACTTTTTATATAACTTTTGTTACTAAACGTAGCGCATTTGCTTTTTGGCAATATAAGGTTTGTGATGTAAACTGCAAATGCAGACATTTTCGCTGAATTTTGCCATCTTATGTAAGGGCTTTTGAGACTGGACTCATTTCGCAAGAGAAATTCATAATCCTTAACTCTATATAAAGTTCGAAACTTGGGTATTCTTTAATGCAACCGAAGCTTATTTGATTTCAATACTAATCTGTTAGTCTGATTGCGAAATAGCAAAAACGTTGCTGCATTTGCGAAGATTTTACAAATTTTATTTCGCTAGTCTAATTCTTGTACCAATAGCAATCCACTGATGACTGGTAAGTGCAGGATATCCGGAAAATATGAAATATATGAAATATCGAAAAATATGAACATTGATTGTACAGTACTATCCTAGAGGAAATATAGACAAGACAATGGTGCAGAATGGTCGATTATACTACGAGAATGTGAAGTACAGAAAAATCAGAGAGTTTCTGAAACTAAAAAACTTGTCGTACTCATTGACGACAACCTAGAACCGTTTCCATTGATTTTCCATTAGCATTCAAGATCGTAAAGTAAGATACGCTTCGCATTTTGATAAAATCTATGCTGAGTTAGCCAAGAAATAAAAATCAAAATCAGCAGATAATGAGCAAACTACTGAAACAAAAAAAAGAATCGCAAATGGCATCAAGAAACGGAGGCAAGAGACATGGCTCACCATTAACAGAATACGGTAGCGCTACGGTAGAGATTGGCATTTCATCTTAAGGAGAGGTTTGACACTGATTTTGTTGTTTCACTGACACCTTTTGAACTCTAATGCGCTCGGGGAAGAATGCAACGAAGAGATCAGACGAACTGATAATGCCTGGATGGAAAAGTGGGGTATGAGAGTGAAGGTTTACAAGAGGTCGGTGTAAATTTGAAGAAATATGAAAAAAAATTAAGAGAAAGTATGAGTGCGGAAAACTTCCTCCCTGTCGCGGCTCGCGCGATGCAAGCCTCTCCTCGATTCAGGTGCCGGGAGCACTGCATGCCGCCGAATCGGGCGCGCTTTTACATTCGCGCCCGGACCTCTCCTTGCTTGGGCGCGTTGCCAAGTCGAGGGGTATATAAGGCCGCGCAACGCGCGCCATTTACCTCTTTGACTTTCGGTGACCTCGTTTTCAAATTCGTTCGATTTCTCTTGTGCTCTTATCGATCGTGCTTGGCAGCTATCCCAGCAAGCTCCCGTGGATGAAGTCTTGCGAGCAGAGTCATTATTAGAGCTTTTGGATCATGCCGCGCTACGCGCGAGGAAAGTTAGAGCTTTAGTTTATGTTTGAACCGGGAGTGGAGAGGGTCGCACCTTTCCTACGCGGAGGCGAGAGTAGGCGGTCGGCCCTTGTGGATTCCCTGACATCGTGTGTTGGAACTAGGTTGGTGATCATCGGCGGCTTGGGACGAGGCGGACTCGTCCCCTATATCGTTTTCTCTTTAGATTTTAGGTATTCTCTAGCTTAGCTGTTTGTGTAGTGTAGTTTGTTGTTATTTAGATAAAGTTAAGTAATCTAGCCGCGCGTTTGTTGTCATGGTTTATCGCCACTTATCGGGATTGTCTCGTCGGACGCGCCGGAGTAGCTAACCGGCGCCAAGGTTTGTGGACAGCAGGTGCAGGGTTGTGCAGGCAGTCGAGCGAGGCAGGGGGTGCTGAGCCCACCGAGCCGCAACATGGTGCATCGACGCCGAGCGCATGGACGTTGGAGGATTCCGCCCGCGTATGGAATTGGATTGGACACGCAGATCGAGGACGAGCTGGACAAGATCAGGACGCAGTTATGGGAACGCGCCATCCCATCTTCCATGCGTGCGTAACGGACCTGAGTCTACCACGCTCAGCACGATAAGAAGATCAGCAACAAGGAGACCAGAGGACACTCGACGACCAGTAGCAGGACTGCAGGAATGGTAGCCATGAGTATGATGTCGAGCGTGGGGTGGATAGGAGGTGAGATGGTGGCAGCTCTCGCCAACTCGAAACCCCAGAGCTCAGCGCTCACTTCATACTGTGATTGGTGCTTACTCGCGCTTCTGAAGTACTATCCAGGTGACGGGCCGGTGTCATCCCCGACGGACTCGACCACGGGAACCCTTGTGGTTACGCGCGCGCGCATCTGTCGAGTCGTGGCCCGAAGCTGGTCGAAACCTTAAGATCTCGAACAGTTTCGGTGAGCTGCTATGGGAGCGCTGTGACACTGTCTAACGAGGTTAGGAGCTCCTAATCAAGTTAGAGTCTGGACCACAACCGGTGTTTGCGTAATTGGTCGCTAGCAAATGGGCGTGCCGGAGGGAGTACTAGAGGGTTCCCCATACCAACATATCCCCTTTTATTTTTCATGTTTCTTTTCGCGCTATCAACGTCAATATTACAACCACCGTTTTGTTTAATATGGGCCCGTAGTTTCCATCTGCTCTTAATCCTTCTTCTTCGTATACAGGAGCATTCTTCTAGGACTTTGTCGCCAGGGACCCAATTGTGGAGGGCACCTCGCTACCAAGGCCGCGCTCCAGTAAAGGCCACCCCCATTTCCATTTCATCAAGGGCACCCCCCTGTAAGCCTCGATGGCCAGACGGGGCCCACTTGTGACCCAGCCCACGGACCGGCTGGCATTCCGACAAACGTGTCAGACACTACCAGTTCGTTCTGGGCCTGGCCATCGAGACTGTGCCCACAACCTCTAGTACTGGCGGAAGGAGTCGTGCAGTGTGTTATAGAGAGGCACGACCCCTGTAAGGTGGTTCCAGGCGCCCACGGGCATATCCCCCTTTTACCCTACCTTCTCCATGCCCTTCCTATTCGTCGGTAGGAGCCCTGGATAGTCGCCGATGGGCCTCCGTGCAAGTCACTATTTCTTCACATTGTTACTTGCGCACTATACATCAGCGCGTCGTTCTCGTGACACCCTGTCGTAACTGTTGCTTTGCGCCTGTAGGTAGCCCCAGTGGCAGTTTACCCCTCTGTTTTTAGGTTGAGCTAGGTTACTTATATCGCATTTTACTCACGTCATATTTATCGCTTTGTTGCTGTTTTATGTTTTTGATTGTTTTTCTGTCCTTTTTCTTCCAGGTAATGTCGCTTCTTGGAAGCTATAAAGCCCGCATCACCAAGGCCGCCAAAGCACTTCGTGAGAAGATCTCGGAAGTCGACGAGGCCATCCTACAACCGTTGGATCCTGCTGCGGAGGCAAGTAAGGATCCTCACTTTATTTTGAGTCATAAGAGTTTACTTTATTTGAGATTTACTTTGATTGATCGTGCTGTTGCGCATCTCCGCGCCCAGAGAGAGAAAGCCGAAGAGTTTGCTCGTCAAAATCCTGACGAGCAGGGCGAGTTTCCTTTCCTTCACCAGATCCAGAGTCATTGGGACGCTGGTGAACTGGATCAACTCGTGGAGGAGGCTGACACTCTTCACGCTCGTCTTGATATTGCGATCAAACTCTTACCGAGCTCGGAAGCTTTGTTTTCCATTCGTACTCCGGTTGTTCCTCCCTCTTTCTCTTCTGTTAATTTTTCACCTCATCCGACCCAAGACCCTGCGACCGATCAGCCCGCGCAGGATGCAAGAGCGGAAATCGCGAGCCACTCTTCATCTAAGGATCAGGATCGTTCATCAGAACCTGACCTTGTCGCGCCAGCTGATACGCTGCCACCGCGCGCTTCAAGCGCTACCCAGGGATTCGGCGTTCCCCCCAATCACCCCCCAAACCCCCCAACTTTTGGTAACCCCTTCATTACCTCTTCTTGCCCCCAGTCGAATCCATTCGCAGCATCGGCTGCTCTCCCCAACCCTACTTCTACCCAATCTTCGGTGGAACAATCGTTGAAGCTACCGAGCTTCGAGATTCCGACTTTTCACGGCGACATCGACAGTTTTTACGAGTTTTGGGACCTTTTTTCTACGGCCGTGCACAATAACACCAGTGTACCAGTGCCAGTTAAGTTCATGTACTTGAAGTCCCATCTACGTGGACCCGCCGCGAACATCATCGCCGGCTTTCAATCAACGGTTGAGAATTACGATGACGCAGTACGTATCCTAACCAACACGTATGGTCGCCCGGAGATCCTACGCAATAAGCTATGGGACAAGCTCTTGCAGTTACCACCTGCCTCAGAGTCGCCGCAGTCACAACGCGCGACACTTTGTGCTGTAAGAGCCACGTGGACCCAGCTTCAACATCTCAAAGAGGACTCTAGTGCGATAGGCACACTTAGGATCATTCGTGCCAAGTTTCCTCGGCGTACTCGTGAGAGAATTGGCGAATTTAAGAATAAGGGAGATCCGATGTGGACAGTAGATGAGTTGCTTAATACGTTGGACACCATCATCGATAGATTGGAGAACATAGAGGACGCAGACCCTTCGGACTATCACTCCTACAATTCTCAATCAGTTGTTCGTCAATACTCTCTTTCTCCCCGTAGATATCCGAGCGAGAATCGGACAGGTGAAGCGTTTACGCGCTATCGTACACCATCGCGATCAAAGCGTTCGCCGTCGCGCTCGCTGTCCCCTCGCAGTAGACATGAGAGATCATCATCACCCCACTACCCTAGGCGCGCGTCGTACAGCCCTACTAGATCGCGACGTGGAGCACCATCTGATGTGCAGTGTGCCTTCTGTCACAACTTTGGACATCTACCAGACCGCTGTAGAACCATCCCGGATGCTAGGCAGCGAAGAGTGTTTGTCAGTCGTCATAAGCTTTGTTGGTTGTGTTTGCAACCTGACCATACTTACATTGACTGTGACGAGCCTCTTTGTCCATATTGTAGCAAGATACATCATAGGTCACTCTGCCTCGAAACTTTATCCGTACCGCGATCGCCAAGTCCATCGCCTAGGCAACGTTATCAGGACTCGCATAGATCCCAATCGCCAAGACGTGTTCAATTTTCTGAGGAAGCCTATAGACCGTCATCTCGTACAAGCACCCGTGCATCTTCGCGCGGTTTTCAGTCCAGGTCACCACCACCATCTAAGAATAGGTTTTCTCCTACACCATCTAGGCGTACTTCACTATCGCGAAGGTCGCGCAGTCCTACGTCCGCAGTACACAGCGCTAACTGTGCCCTTGACGTGCATGGAACTACCAATGATACACGATCTGACTCTCCTGACGATCATTCTCCAGCTCGCACGGATGTGCATCCGCCTTCTTCTTGTACATCTGTCTGTCATGATCAGTCAACACCTCAGGAGCCCCGCCTAATGGTAGTCCACGCCGTAACTAGGAATCATAAGACCAACAAGAGCGAACTACTCACGGTGTTCTTGGATAGTGGTTCGCAGTATAGCTTTATTTGCACCGCGTTGGCCAAACATCTGGGCCTTTTATTCAGGAATACCAGGACTATCACTACTCTGACGTTCGGAGGACATCAGTATACGGAAGAATCGTCAGAGGTCACTCTTACACTTTGGGACCAATACGACTACCCGATCCAACTCGAGCTATGGACGCGCGAGAAGATCACGACAGTCCCACGGACTAATAACTGTTACGACAGCACCATCGTCGATCCTGCAGATAGAGTGGAAGTTGACGTGCTTTTAGGAATAGACAACTATTGGCGTGTTGTAGATCTGCACAGGAATGAGAAGTTACCATCAGGACTCATCCTGTCGCACACAAGGTTCGGACCAGTTTTATCTGGCATACAGCACCCGGTTGTTTCTAACACCCTTTCAACTATCCACAATTTCTCGGACGAAGACGAGCCAGAGAGCGAACGATCAATACGTAGCTTTCTCGGCCTCGACGTACTCGGATTAGACGAAGGCGAAGATGTGGATGCCGACGTCATCAGGCAGTTTTATAGCAAGGTCGCCATTGTAGACGGCAGTATTTATGTCTCCTTTCCTTGGAAGTCAGAACATCCTCCTCTCGCGGATAACAAACCTTTAGCCTTTCGCCGATTGCAGAGTCAGTATGAGAAGTTTCGAGCGGCACCGGAAGCTTGGAAAGATTACTGCAAGACAATTGAGGAGCAATTGCGGATTGGCATTATTGAGGATGTTACGGACGTAGCCGCGCAAGGCTCGAATATATATTATATTCCACATCAAGCCGTTTACAAACAAGACAGCTCCACCACCAAGTTAAGGATCGTCTTTGACGCGTCGAGTCATCAGAAAGGCTGTCCAAGCCTCAACGACTGCTTACACCAAGGACCTTCCTTACTGCCAGATTTAGTAGGAACTCTGATGCGAAGCAGGTTCCATCGCTTCCTTATCATTGCCGACGTGGAGAAAGCGTTTCACCAGATCCGTTTACATCAGGATCAGAGGGATTCTACTAGATTCCTATGGTTGAAAGATGTCCAGCAACCACCCTCAACGGACAACCTTCGTATACTACGCTTTACGCGCGTGCCGTTCGGTATTAACGCATCACCCTTCCTACTTAGTATGTCCATCAGATACTTTTTGGAACAGGATCCAGCAAATCGGCTCAAGGAACAGATTCTTGCTAACACTTATGTCGATAATCTCATCATTGGCGCAGATTCCAATCAGGAATGCCTGACTAAGCGTAAACAGTGCAAGGACATTTTCGCAAGGATGTGCATGAACCTTCGTGAGTTCATGTCTAATAGCCAGAGTACGATGCTGTCGATTCCTGAACACGATCGTATGACAATACACGGACATTTCGTCAAGTTTCTAGGGATTAAATGGGATCCTAAGCTTGATGTGCTGCATGTGCCGATTAACATCGCGCACCAACCCGTAACGAGCAAGAGGACAGCATTAAGAGTCTATGCATCTACGTTTGATCCTCTAGGACTGTTAACACCGCTGCTGGTAAGACCCAAGATGTTTATACAGGACTTATGGGAAGCCGGTTATGATTGGGATAACCCCTTCACTGAGGAAGATGCCCAGAGATGGAACAACATCGTGCAGGAAATGAGCGACTTTCACACGCACGTGCCGCGCTACCTCGGATCTACCTGTGATGATGCTTACGATTTGGTTCTTTGTTCGGACGCGTCTAAGCGAATTTATGCCACCGTCGCTTACGTCTTGACATGTGAGTCGAACAATAGACCACAATCAACCTTATTCTTCGCGAAAGCGAAGCTAGCTCCTCCAGGTGCGATCACCATCCCTCGCATGGAGCTTCTAGCTTGTCACATGGCAGCCAAGACGGCAAAGTTTCTGATAGGCCAGTGCAAAGTCAGCTTCCGATCAATTAGATTCCTCACCGATTCTCAGATAGTTCTGTACTGGATTCAGTCGCGCAAGCCGCTCAAGACTTACGTCGCAAACCGCGTCAGATACATCCGTCGCGTACTAGACGAGTTGAGAGCGGACAACATTGCTACCGGATTTTACTACTTGGATACGGACAATAACCCGGCGGACTGTGCCACCCGAGGATTAACCGCCTCAGAATTCCAGAATCACATGTGGTGGACAGGCCCAAGCTTTTTCATGACCCCTTCTTCGCAGTGGCCCTGGAAGAATCTTGAACCATCGGTTACTCTTCCGCCAGATGCAGAAGTAGAAGAGCTCAAGGTGGTCACAACATCGATGAACACTATCCCGGAATTTTATACCTCCTTCGTGCCTTTTACGCGTACCAATTCTTACACCAAGTTGGTTCGAGTCACTGCGTATGTCCTAAAGTTTTTGGCCAAAGTGCGTCACCGAGCCAGGACGCGCCGCCATCATGAGAACCAGGACACGCAATCTATTCTTAGCACGATGGACACGACACCCGTGGTAACACCAAAGGACTTCACGACGGCTGAATCGTTGCTAATACGCGAGCACTACAGGGAGTGCCAGCAACGCTTGAACAGTTCATATATGAAGAAGTTTCGCACGACGTGCGACGAGGACGGTATCATCAGAGTCGATTGGCGCATGTCTAACGCGCAGACCGACAATTCTACGAATCCCATTCTTATATTGTCGGATCATCCTCTCTGTCATATGTTGATTATGTATCATCATTGCCAGCTATTCCACGCTGGACCGTCTCATTTGATAACCATCTTGCGCCAGAGCTTCTTCATTCCTAAGCTGAAACGTTTGGTTAAGTCCGTTCTTTCCAGATGTGTGATTTGTAGAAGGTACCAAGCTCGACCATATAAGTATCCGTACGCGCCGGACCTTCCATCACAGAGGGTTACTAGGAGTCGTCCATTCCAGCATATCGGCCTTGACTATTTTGGACCCATTCTTGTTCGCTTGCAGTCATCTGAGCGTCATAAAGTGTGGATTTGCCTCTTTACGTGCATGTCAACGCGCGCAATCCACCTAGAAGTGGTAAGAGACAACACTACACTTCAGTTCATACTAGCTTTTAGGAGGTTTATGGCACGTCGTGGAAAACCAGACACCGTGAAGTGCGATAACGCGCCTACCTTCAAGCTAGGACAGGAAATAATCAAGAATGAGTTGCCAGCCGTAACGGACGACAGCCAAATAAGTCAATTTTGTGCCAACAATAACATCAACTGGACCTTCATAACTCCGTACTCGCCTTGGAAAGGAGGATTTTACGAGCGACTAGTAGGATCGGTCAAGACCGCGCTGAAGAAGACAGTACGGAATCAGACATTGGACCTTTGGCTACTTGAGACCCTCATTATTGAGATAGAGGCCATTCTCAACACCAGACCTCTTTTTCCGGTGAATTCATCCGATCCGGATACGAATGTGGCCATAAGACCTATCGACTTGATTACTTCGGATTTTCAAGTGGCACGTTTGACCGGCAATATACCTCAGAAGATCGCTAACGCATCGAGCGAAAGTTATCGAGCGCTCCGTACGCGCTACAAGTCCCTACAGGAAGACTTAGACCATTTCTGGCAACTTTGGCAGACGGAATATCTCGACGCTTTGGCTCAAAGACAAGTCATACGCACGAACGGTCAGTCTAGCAAGAAACCACCCCGAGTAGGAGAAGTAGTGCTCGTCAAACAGGACGCGCATCGATCAACGTGGCCACTAGCACTCATTCTGGAACTTTACACTTCATCTGATGGCAATATTAGATCAGCCAAGATTAGGACTGCCAAAAAGAAGATATTGGAACGTTCAATCAACCATCTGGTACCCCTGGAGATAGTGGCAGATGAGGAGACCATCCCGGAGCGAGGTTACGAACAGCACGTTGCAGTAAAGGATACCCTTCGTGGAACATCTAAAGAGTGAGCACCCCACATTGAAACAGGTACACATACTAGAATTTTTTTTCTTTTCTTTTGTTTGCCTTTCTTTTCACTATTTTTACTGCTTTAGTTATTCTATACTTCCCCTCGCCTCTGATGTGCGCTACAAGCGCACTTTTATGTGCTTTTTTCGTCTAATTTCATCTTTAGACTGCGTTGGGTTCCGGCACGAATTGTCGCCCGGCAGCGTATAATTGTACAACCTTACCGCACGATTGCTATTCGCGCATCACGAAACCCTATTGTTCACACAGTGCTCATCATAGGCCCATCTCTTGTATAACTTTGTAGTTTTCTTTGTATTTCCTTCTTTGAGTACTTTAACTTCGTATGTGCACCCGTTCTAACTTGTGCTTGTACCCCTTTATTGCAGATTGTTTAGTAACAAAGCATGCTCACTTCTTGATGCCACTATTAATAAAACAGCTGTCATTTGAACTACCAATACTCGGATTAAGGATTTTGACGAGGGAACAGTACAAGTAAGAAGCTTACCAAAAATCTCTTTGTTTTTCTTCCTTTTTTCTATCTCGGGGCTTAATTCAGTCGCGCATATTTTGCACCCCGTCAAAACAACAGCGCGCACATTTTGTTAATTCCAAATTCTTAATAGGTTTTTTGTTCCTTAAAGTACTAAATTACTTTTGTTCCTTCCTTCTTGCACTGAGCCCTCTACTTTTTTGTTATTGTTATATTCCAATATATTCCAGGCTATCAGCGCAAATTCCAGCTGCGCCTCGACATCAGTTCAGGTCCAACCAATGCGTTCTGAAGAAGTTTTCGAAGGCACGCAACGTCACCTACGGAGGATGAGGAAGCCAGCCGTTGCGTCAGACTAGTCCTGTCGCGCGGGAGGGCGGACTAGAGTCCTCTCGGCAATCCTGACTTTGCGGATGAGAGTGCCATCACTGCAGCTTTTGCATTAACAACGCCCAAATTGTGCGTAGTGCTGCTTCGTATTAAGACTTTTACGCTTGGCTGGACAGATTTACCCACACCCCAATGCCATCTGGGAGTTTTGCATTGCCGCGCGCTGAAACATCGTAGACTCCCCGCCGCGCGCGCGAATAGTTGTAGAGTGCGAGCTGTGTGTGACAGTAGTGTGTGGAACGACGGAAAATGGTTAGTGTGTTCCTACCTTTATGACCTTTTTGACCTTGTAAACCCTTTCTGCTTCAGTGACATCTGGTAGAATGGTACAGTATGGTCAGTGGGTAGTCGCACATGGTCGATGTTGCTTGTGGTCATGGTTGTTGGAGATGGTGTTGTGGTTGTATGGTCGCACATGGCTCGTCGTTTGCACATGCACATGATCTTCATAGTTAGCCACTTCGCATTTAACCACCTCATATTTAGACACGTCTAGTTGCACACCTAGCTTTACCTTTACATAATCATTTTAGTTCGTAGTTAGTTTAATCATTCTAGTCGAGCAGTTATCCACCTTCGTAGTGTTAGTTTTCATATTTATTCATGTCAGCTCATACTTAACCACCTTAGTTATCCATTATTCTCCTTTGTAGAATGTAGTCATCATATTTAGCCACGTCATTTAACCGCATTTAACCAGTTAGTTAATCACAGTTATTCCATGTATTTGTTGTGCTCTATTATGTGTGTATGTTATCCTACGGGACGGGTTTTTTTCCAGGTCATCTCTCACGCGCTCCACCATGCCGCCGATAGAATTGTTCTTTTACTTGTCTACCCTCTAAAATCTAACGTAGGATGCATCCCCTGGGTCGTCAGTGCTATCACGTAACCAACTATTCGAACGCTCAAGCCACTGTCTCGGGGGGGAGTGTCGCGGCTCGCGCGATGCAAGCCTCTCCTCGATTCAGGTGCCGGGAGCACTGCATGCCGCCGAATCGGGCGCGCTTTTACATTCGCGCCCGGACCTCTCCTTGCTTGGGCGCGTTGCCAAGTCGAGGGGTATATAAGGCCGCGCAACGCGCGCCATTTACCTCTTTGACTTTCGGTGACCTCGTTTTCAAATTCGTTCGATTTCTCTTGTGCTCTTATCGATCGTGCTTGGCAGCTATCCCAGCAAGCTCCCGTGGATGAAGTCTTGCGAGCAGAGTCATTATTAGAGCTTTTGGATCATGCCGCGCTACGCGCGAGGAAAGTTAGAGCTTTAGTTTATGTTTGAACCGGGAGTGGAGAGGGTCGCACCTTTCCTACGCGGAGGCGAGAGTAGGCGGTCGGCCCTTGTGGATTCCCTGACATCGTGTGTTGGAACTAGGTTGGTGATCATCGGCGGCTTGGGACGAGGCGGACTCGTCCCCTATATCGTTTTCTCTTTAGATTTTAGGTATTCTCTAGCTTAGCTGTTTGTGTAGTGTAGTTTGTTGTTATTTAGATAAAGTTAAGTAATCTAGCCGCGCGTTTGTTGTCATGGTTTATCGCCACTTATCGGGATTGTCTCGTCGGACGCGCCGGAGTAGCTAACCGGCGCCAAGGTTTGTGGACAGCAGGTGCAGGGTTGTGCAGGCAGTCGAGCGAGGCAGGGGGTGCTGAGCCCACCGAGCCGCAACACTCCCACAGATACAAATTGGGTCCCGACAGTTTTTTTTGTAGAAATTCACTACTTTTGTATTCCTGGCCGCTGTCTGAACTTATCATCCCTGAATGTTTGCGTAGGGTAAAGGTAGCGTACGATGACTACCAAGGGATTATGGCGTCGAAAAGGTACCCGTGTTTTTGCTATTTGCCAAAGATCAACATTCCAGTAATGGAAGTCATAAGAGCCAGTACATAGTGCCATACAAAGTAAGAAAATATGAGAATACAGAATGCAGTATAGAAGTTTTGTTCTATCTGCAGTAAAAATGGAGTCTGTTCCTTCCTCTAAACTAATCATGAATGAAGAAAGTGCAAAATTAGATGAAGAAAATTGTGAATAAAAAATGAAGAAATTGGTCGCTAATGTGGCTCTTAGATTTCGAAATGAAAAGATAAAACCTTGCAAATAAATCCAGAAAATAAAAAGTGATATAAAAACCTGAAAGTGCTTGAGTTGCAATTGATTTAGTCTAATTTTCCATTTATAAAAAAAACTTGGTAGTGAAAGAATAAGAATGAAGAAGCAACAGATAAAACCTTGTACATTTTGTGATTTTTTCTAAGTATATTTCCGAGAATGAAAAATCAAAAAATAGTAATTTATTGAAAGTAAAACCAATATCAACCAAGATTAATAAACAAGTTAATGTTAATGACTTCCGGACTTCCCCGTGCCAAAGATAAGTTTAAAATAGGTTTTGTAAATGAAAATGTGGACAAAACAAGAGAAAAAAATTGATGGAAACGGATTCATAGACAAAACCGTGAAAACTACATACGTAACTGTTAACGTATATTCTTGTGTATTTTTGAGCTTTGAAAATATGAAATATTGTTTGATCAAAATTAGTAGGTAACAACTGGTGAATACGCAGCAATGAAAAAGTTGGCACTGATAAAATTTTCCGATTTTTTACCTGTACTAAAAACGGGTTACACGTTCCCAATTTTGCAAACGTGATAAAAAAACCCACGAGTGAAACCAGTGGCCCACGGGCATGGTTAGTTCTGGCGACCAGCAGAAGAGCAGCGATTGGGAAGTGCTTTCGAATTGTGGAAAATTTATTCGCCTAGCATGGCTTTATGTACTTTTCACAGCCATACATGAACAAAATTTGAATTGATCGATAATCATATGCACAACGCTATTGTGACACTCGCTCTTTTCTCACTATGTAATCCTTGAGAAATAGCAGATTTCTGATTTTTTTTCACAATTTACGATGATTTTGCGAAAGTTATTTTGTGACCAGCACACCTTCTTCATTTTGTTGCTTTCCAGCGTCTTTATTCTTTTACTGTCAATCTTCCCTATTTTCATAAATACGCTATGTAGCTAAGCTCTCTTCCCTGTGCGTCAAGGCATTCGCTTGAGGACCCCTTTGTTGAATGAATTTTGGCAAAGTGAGTTGGCGAGAAGAGCGATCGAACCGACAAGCAAAAAGTGTGGTGGGGCAAGAGGAGATGAGAAGAGAGAGGATAAAGGACAAATTGTGGGGTTTTTATGTAAAAACAAGCTAATTTTTTTAAGCAACTGAAAAAAAGTTTCAAAAAGAAAGAAGATGGGCGATCCATATTTTAAAAAAAAATTTTTCAAACCTCAAATTTTGCATGTGAAGCTTAAGACTTCGCCTAAGGGTTCTTGCCTTTAACCACCCCTGAATAATTTTTCACAAGGCTAAAAATTTTCTCAAATATAGTAGTTGAAAAAAGATCTAAGTTATCATTGAAAAAATGAGCTTGCGGAAGGAATTGATAGTTTTCTGATAAGTTTTCTTTTTCGGTCAAGTCCAAAATATTTTTTACAAACCCACTATTTTTTTGGAAAAATCAAGTTTCCTTGATTTTTCCCGTTACATAAGGAGCACCAAATTCTGTCCAGCGAATTTCCGCTGGTCATAAGAAAAATTGTTGTCTTATTCACTTTGAGTCAAAATAAGCGATGAAAGAGTTCGCGTTCAAGCGAACAAAAAATCTTGCAAATATCTCTTGCATAAAAATTTGAAAAAAAGAAATTTGTTCGTGAGCTCTAAGAAGGTACAGAGAAAAATAAGAGAGCACATTATGGATTGATCTGTTTATAGAATGATTGATATTGAGAAACAACGCATTTGATCACAACTAATTAATTTGAGTAATAAAAAGAATAGAACATATAAAATGCGCATTTTTTCCAAGAATTGGAACAAAAGACCTAATTTTGAAGGAGAAAGCCATGACGGAGCGTAGGTTGTGTTTGTTGTCGAACAGGAAACAGTGCCTACTTGCAGCTAAGCGGCTTTGTCGAGCGTAGCGCTAGAGAAAAATATGCAAAACTCGGTGAGGATTGATTTTCTGGAAAAAATTAGGCCGGGAGGGGGGGGGGGGTGGGTAATAGTTCCACCATAGTTTGGGTTTGGGCCAGATCGTAAGCTCCCTTGA